ATTGTATTATCATCACAATACAATACACCTTATACAATACCGTATGAATTACCAAACATCACATTAATGTTTCTGAGATTTTTTTTTTTTTTTTTTTTTTGTTTATAAACAGAAAAGCCTTTTTTCTGTCTAGAAAATAATGGAGAGTCAATATGTCTCTTCGTTGAAAAGAACATGGAGGTATGGCGAAATGGCCGAGATATTGTTTCAGTCGTCACTTTCTCAGATTGACGATTCAATTGTTGTTCATCTATATTTCTTTTTCTTCTTTTTTTTAGCCAAAAAAAAAGGCATCAAACCAAGCAGATAAAAGAAACTAAAAGTTAACTGGGGGTGTTCAAATTTTTCTTTTTCCAAACAAATCTAGCAAACAAATGAAAGCAGACAGATGAATAAGGTTCGAAGTTATTTCCCCCTCATATCAAACTAAGGAAATCATTAAGATGATGTTTGGTTTATGGGTTTAAAATCATAGTTTATGATTTTAATTTTTAAAATTTAAATATTTTATAAGAAAAAAACACTATAACAGAATTAAGAATCACGATCTTAAATCAGACATAACCTTGAAACCAACGTAACCTCAGGTTTCGCTTATGTTAAATTTTTGGTTGTTTTTTAAGTAATAAAAACTCAAAAATCGTCAACACCAATATCTTTCGCACGGATTCGATCATGGAAAAGCAGCGGTCCATGGCGAAAGCATCATGGATGGACGAAGGTGTCGAGGGTTGTGTATTGCCGGGTTTCGTAATAATCGCGCAGATAAGGTTGCCAAGGAGGACGTAGTAGTCATGGCTGGGGCTTGCCGACCAAGAGAGAGAAATTATCGAGAGAGAGAGAGACTCTGAGTTTTTATTTTTTTTCTTATTTTATGTTTTTTAAAATTCTTTTAATGAATTTATAAAAAAAATCTGGACAAATCAAATGCAAGGATATAAATGACTTTTTGCATCTTAAAAAAGAGTATTAAGATATTAAAAAAAAATTCAAAATGTTGAAATACCCGCATAAAATTATAAAAACATAAAGTACTAAATTCGTATTTTAACATAATACAAAATACTAAAATGAAAATTTCCCTTTAAATTATACTCCATGACGTGCTAATACAACAAATCTAACGCGCCCAAAAGTTATGCTACAACAAACTTTGACTGGTCAAATTCTACCATTCTTAATAACATTCAAGTTAATTTTGTCTAGTGGAACAAAAATAAAAGGAAAGGAAAAAAAAAACTTAGAAAAGATCATAAGATCATATCCCGCTGGTACACCACAAACAAAACTGAGAAAAGAGTTTAGAAATTAGAATATACTCGCAAAATATAACAAATTAAAAAAGACATTCAACCCTATGAGATCCATTAATAGGTTAAAGCAACTAGAAAAAAAAAAAAGAAGGAAAATCGTTAAAGCAACTGGAAACTAATTTTGGAGCGTAGTTGTGCATTAATTCAACCTCAAAGAAGACATTTTTTTATATTTATTTTATGTTTTATGTACTTAAACATTCAAATGTTTAGTTATGTTTCCAAACTTATTTAGATGTACTTGGTTATATTTCAAACTTCGTTAGATGTTTGGTAATTGGTCGTGTTTTGAAACACACACACACACACATATATATATATATGATAATCTAGTAGTATATATATATATATATATATATATATATATATATGTGTGTGTGTGTGCGTTTGATATTTGGATATTTTTATATGTGTTGACTATTATGGAGAATTGAAGGATTTATGTTTTTCTTATTATATGCTTGCCAGATTTTAATTATAAGTGATATTAAGTAGTCAATTAATATTAGTTTTGAATACAATATAAAATTACACTATTTTTACTAGTTGGGTCATAAATGGGTTTTTTTCATGTCGACCCGTCACGGTTCGTTTAGTAATCGTGTTCGCGTGTCGTGTCGTGTTAACCGTATTATTAGTGTTTCGTGTTCGTGTTTGCGTTTCTGACACGTTTATTAATCGTGTCGTGTTCGTGTTTACTATAATCGTGTCGGCCCGAACACAACACGCAAACAGAAATTACCAGCCCTACAAAAAAGTGTTGCTCTCTCCCGCAAGACTTTGCCAGCCCTTCATCTTGTTCTAAGTTCTAACACCTTTGTGCAGTCTGCCACAACTTTCTTATAATTATTTCACAACAAAAACACTTGTGGCGATGACAATAAATGAACAAACACCCATTTGAATCTTTCCTTGGGTCTGTAGTTGTAGTGGTTGTTTTGTTCAGAGTTTTTCACGCTGATTAGAAGTAAGGAATGACGCGGATTAGAAGTAAGGAATGGAACAAAGAAGTAATGCATGGAATAAAGAAATAATGTGAGGGAGTGAACATGGAAAGCAAAAGGTTCGTCTATTATAGTGCGAAGGAAAGAATGTGGAAGAAAAAGGAAGCAACAAAATAATTGAAGGAATAATAGAAAATTTGTAGTGGAATTAATATTAATGTAGAGGTGTCTTGAATAGTGGTGCGGTAGTGCATGAAAAGTAAGGAAATGAGTGAAAGTTGTAACGGAATAATATATAGGATTAATTATAAAAAATTTTAATGAATTATACCCTTTATAATACTTTACTCTATGATGTTTAAAACGTAACATTCATTCCTTTTAAATTAAACCCTTTATAACACTTTACCACTCCTCGATTTTTAAAATGTAACATTCACTCCTATTTAATTATATCTATTGTAACACTTTACCATAGAGAATGAATGTTACATTTTATAGATAAGGGAGTAAACTGTTATTAAAAGTATAATTCAAAAGTAACGAATATTACATTTTAATGATCTGGACAATAGTTTTGTGTTTAGAGTGACGAGAGATAATATAAAATTTGTAGTAGACTGAATATAATATAAGAGGGGTATTTAATAAATATCAAACTTGGGATGACGTTTCAAATAACCTGGAATTTATACTGAACACAGAGTAAGTAGTACATTGACAAACGTCATAGTACATAAACCATGCGAAATTATTTTAAAATCCGCAATGTGAAAACGTGCTTCCACTGAAATTAATTTTTAATTGGACTTTCAAAGATGTCTCGTAGATAACTAAAAAAAAAAAGATTCTTTATTCCTTAAAGTATTCAAAGTTAGCCAAAGTAATTCCGTACCATTTTTGTTGCGTCGTAATACCGCTTTCATTATTTCTTATATTATATTCAGATTGTTATATAAAGGATAAAGCAGGCACCCTTGCTGAGGCATACAATTATCTCTTTCACGTCAAAGCGCACAAGTAATCTTCCAAATATGACGTACGTCCTCTTATCATATCATTACTTTTTAAATTTCTTTGTCAGATATATTTTGTATAGTTTATGTGCGTTTCTTGTTATTCATATGTAGCTTACTGCTTGAGATATTTTTTTTTTAACTGTCATGCTGTATTTCTTCTCTTTTTGGAACTTGTGATGCTTTTTTATTTTTTTTTTTCATTAACAAGAATTTGAAGTAGGTGTTTACCAGGGAATAAGATTTTTAAGAGGTGCCAATTTAGTTTGGATATGTTTTAATTTTTCTTTTGTTTTTTCATTAACAAGAATTTGAGGTAGGTGCTTAGCAGGGAATAGGATTTTCAAGAGATGCTAACTTAGTTGGGATATATTTTAATTCTTTTTTTACGCTAATTGCTCCTTCGTACCTTTATTAAAAAAAAAAAAGATTTTGATCAGATCTGACGCCGTAGAAACCCCAAACTTATAAGAAAGATCCAACAATAACAAATTGGTAATGAAATGTGCAGGGTAATTATAAGTACAAACATTGTTCATGAAGTACTTAACAAGTATAACTACGAGGATTGGAGTGGAGTAGTTAAAAGCTACTTGATTGCTGATGATCTCTGGGATGTCGTAAACCCTGTAGCAGCTCAAAAGTCTCAAATAAAGGATCATAATACTACAGGAGACGAAACATCAGAATCAGAAATATCAGTGGATCACAAAATACCAAAATCAGAAGGTTATAATTTGGAGGAGGACAAGATCAATGCTAGAGCTCTTCACGCAATTCAGATTTCATGTGGGCGAGATGCCCTTTTTGCTATTCGGGGGATCCTCTCGGCGAAAGAAGCTTGGCGTATTTTAGATGAAAGGTTTAACCCAGATTTCTTTATAAAATTCACAGATAGCAGTGAAGGTACGTATTAATAATTTCTAGCTTTCTCTGTATGTATACCATGAACGCAAATTCTATGCAGCGAATTTTACTTGCAATTTTAAAAACAAAAACTTGAATTCGTGACAAAAAATTTAATTTCGCAAATCGGCCATTAAACTTCAGAGGATTGCCACAACAAAATGTAAATTAAGGTAGCTAGCCAAATAGAGCATTAGTAATTGACATTGGCAGTTATCACTAAATAGATAAGAGAGTCACTTAATAGTCTATTCGAGTAAACTCATCTCTAAATAGAAAAATAATTTTTTTGCAGAATCACAAAATGCACCACAAAATTAAAAAATTCCTAGTCGACTAATTAACGGCACTCAAATAAAAAAAAAAAAAAAAAAAAATGTACAACAAAATCACTTTTTTTGCAGAATCACAAAATTATAAACTAGGTATGCTTGCCAATGAATTTGCAATAAATCAATGTAATCGGTTGTGAGACGCTTAAGGTTCTTCTCCAGATACTTTTGTTGCCACAATAACCTATTCACGAATTAATACATCATTAATCTGAAATGTTCACTAGCTTTCTACGTTCTAATTTTATGTCTGTTTGACTTTATCTGTACATCATCGGTATACTAGAAGAGAGTTTCGATCGGCTTGACGACAAGGACAAGGAGAAGGGCAAGGAGTTCCATACAGCTTTAAAAAACCGTGAATGGGAGAAAGTAAAGAAGATTTACACCGAAAATCCTAGCCTGTTGAAAGGAAGATTTTCGTCTAAAAAATTTTCAGCCCTTCACTATGCAGCACAGCACAGTGGAAATACAGGCATTGTGAAGGACATGGTGGAAAAAATGAGTAAGGAAGACATGGAAATCAAAGATGCATGTGGTGGCGGTACAGCACTTATGATGGCCATAATGGCAGGATCTGTGAAAATGGTAAAATGCATGATGAAAAAGAATCCTGAATTAATTACCGTTGAAGATAACAGTTTATTCCTTCCGGTCGAAGTAGCCCTTTCTTGTGATGATATCGACGTGATTTGCCATCTGTATCATGCTACTAAAGCGTATTTATCATCTCCTAATCATGCTGCCCGTAAAAAACACGGGGCCACGTTTATTTCAAAATGCATAAAAAAGAAAAATCCCGGTAAGATAAGTAGTACTAGTAGCTTTAATTTATGTTCAACGTTCGTATTTATATTATAGTTTTTTGCTTAACTCGTGTAGATTGTTAAACATTGAATTTATTAATTAAATGCTACAGGGACATTAGGTTTTGCCTTGGATTTACTGAAAGAAGAAAATAGTTTAGCTCTTACTAAAGACTACACTTGGGAATCTCCCTTGTACGTACTCGCATGTTCACCTTCTCTATTTGGTGATGGAGATGAGCTTGGATTTTTCAAGCGATGGATATATAAATGTGAGTGTCCTTGTATATGGCTCTTTTTTTCTTTCCTTTTTCTTGTGTTCTCTCTTTTCAATACACACTACTACTTATATATTATATTATATGCACTTATAACAGACAAACAAACACACATATATTTGTTATAACAATCTCTATACCTTCTGATTTCTTTTTTTAATAAAACGTTGTCATTAAACATAGATGACTTGCTACGCCAATCTTTCCTTACTTCATCGTTAAGCAAAACAAGCTCTTCGTTTAATTCTTTTCCCTCAAATAACCTAGAACACTCTTTAGATTCAATTTAAAGGAAGCATTAAGATGAGAGAGATAGGTTGACCTAAATAACAAGCACACAAGCTCAGATCATTCAACTTAGGTTATGTTCATGACCATAATCAATGATCACAATTGCTACTAATGATTACAAAATCAAGACAATTACGGGCTTGTTCTTTTAGAGTTTAACTTGAGTATAATTTTTGAATTGAATTTGAGTTATAACTTGAGTTGAACTTATAACTTGAGTTTGTGTTTGGTTGTGTACATTTGAGTTATGGTTTGAGATAAGAATTTTTTTGAGTTTGTGTTTGAGTGAGTCAAAACTTGAATTTGTATTTAGATAGTATTTTAATAAAAACTCAATGCTGATGAAAAATTTTAATAGGGTATATAGATCAGGTTTTATTCGTCTTTTCGTTGTCAACTCATAGAAAAAAAATCATCTCAATCAGAATTAAAATGAAAAAGTTATAACATTTTTAAGAATAGAAAAAATAATGTTCATTAATTTGACTTCGAGTTTATGAACTCGAGTTGAAGGGGAAACTTGAACTCGAGTTTTAGTCCTAAACTCGAGTTTGAACTCGAGTTTAAACTCGAGTTTAAACTTAAAAGAACATAAACTCGAATAAAGTTGTAACTCGAGTTGCTCTTTTTTTTTAGTTTTTCACTCAAAAGAACAAACCCTACGTATCAAGACTCCTAATCTAGTAATAGAAAATTCTCAATTCCTAAATAGTTTTGCACTTAAATAAAACAATAAAATAATCATGACCAATTATTATATATAGAAGAACCTAAACAATTTCAATAGAAAAATAAAAATAAAATATTTAATCACAATTCCATGTCTAGGGTTTTAAAATCACCCTCACTCAAAATAAAATTAAGCTAACATAATAGAAAAGAAAATGAAACTGAAGAAAATAAATTCTAAAGAAGAGAGAGAAGGGAAGAAAGAATTAGAAAAATCTTCAAGAAACTCCTTTTTTTTTCTTCTTCTTCTTCTTCATCTCTTGACGGTTGGAAATTATGTGAAAGTGTCTTCTAATCAGACCTTAAGTCCTTTTTTTTTTTTTTTTTTTTTTTTTAATGAAACCTTGTCATTAAACATAGATGACTATTATTAGGCAATACAAGCTATGTCAAATACATACACTGTAATTTCTTTGGTATTTAAGACAATCTAAATCTATAAAAGGAATTCTCGGTTTTTTTTTTTTTTTTTAAATACAAAGGGAAGGGAAAATGCCCCCACTTTCAAGTGGGGCTCAAAGTGACTTGAACCCTCAAACTATAATTGGGGAGGAGCTTACAACCAACTAGGTTGCCCTCACTCATCAGAATTCTCAGAATTCACATAATATACATTTGAGTTAATAATATAAGAATGCATATAATGCATTATTCTAAAAGAGCTAAAGTTAATACATATTTGAATCATTGAAAATCTTCTATCAGACACAAATTTGCATGACCAGCGCTCATGTTTTAAAAGTTACATGTATATAATGTTTTAACTCACATTAATCTTCATTTATTATAGTAGTTTCTTTTGGGAAAAATATATGATTTTGGAAGAATGGAAGGGAAGATCATAAATGTGCTGCACGGTTTATGATTCTACATGATATAACTAACAGTCTTTACTATTTGGACAAATTATCGTCACGAAAGTTGATGATCGTTTTGTTGATATATAGTCATAAGCACAAAACCAGCCACTCCTGCTGCCAAAAGCGGCGGTGAACAGGCAGAAGATCCAGAACGTGGGAGCGACACCACCAACATGAAAAAGTCGGGTAGTTTTTTAATTACCTTTAATTAATTAATTAGCATGCAGAATATATAGTGATACAATTATACTAATAATGCGCGTGTATAAGAAAATGACGTAAGCCACTAAAACTAGCAGGTACTATGCTGCATCGTATACTTCATGACAACTTGTGATAAATATTAGAGCTAATAATTATCGCGTATTCATCTAGTAGCACTCTTCATATTTCTTATGTTGTATCAACGGAAAAAAAAATATTAATCATTCTTGATATGATTACATATATATATATACATTATAAATTATATGCGTATATATATAATATCCCTCGTTTCAAAGCATACATGCAATGTTACTTTTAAGTGAATGCTTTTGTATTTTTACAGTAGTACCTTAATACCTTATAATTTACTCTTTTTTTTTCGAGACTAACCTTGTAATTTACTTATACCAATCGAACTGCAGGGTTGGATTCATTCACCTCGCCAGTAAAAAAACTGCTTAATAAGCTTCTAGGTAAATCAAGCAGTCTTAACAAATATAATTCACCTTATATCCTATCACTGTATTAAAATGTCATTTTATGTACTTTTATAACAAATCTGTTCCTGATCGATCGTTTGTTACTCTAAAGGAATTGAACAGATACGAGAAAAGAAATTGGTTCATGAACGTTCCTTGGAGCTACTAGTGAGATGTGCAAAGCGGTTAAGAATGTAAAAGATAAGAAAGAATTGAAAGATGGTTTAGTGTTGAAGGCGCTATCCGCTGCTGTGGAACGAGGAAACACTATATTTGTCTCTAAACTGATTTCCAGGGTTCGAGCACTTTGGATGAGCACTGATGAGTATTCAAGGGACATATACATGCACGCCATTGAATGGCGTCAAGCAAAACTGTTTACCCACATGCTTCGACATATAAGCGGTAATCTTGTATCAGCAACCAGTTCTATGAAAGATAAGTTTGGTAATAACTTGCTACATGTAGCTGCAACGTTAGGGCCGTCCACCCAACTCGATCTTGTTCCTGGAGCAGCTTTGCAGATGCAAAGAGAAATACAATGGTTTAAGGTAAAGACTTTAGTCTTTATTTCTCAATACAACTTGTTTTCCCAAGTTAATTACGAGGCATGAATACCGGAAGTCAATCTTATTTCTTAAACATCTAAAATCATGAAGAAAGCAAAAAAGGAAAGATTAGGAAATGAAACATTTATTATGTTTTCGCCATATGAAAGCTGAGAATAATCACTTGTCAGCTTAGACGGTTATAAAAATTAGCAATTAGAAATAGACTTTGATATACTACGTATTATTCTTATGCCTACTATATAATATTTGTACGAAATAAAAGAAATAAATTTACATACCCACCCAAATTTAATGCTATTAATCAAACCAATATTTGAGCAACAAAATTCTTGGTTCATGAAATATATATTAATTTCCCTTATTGCACATATATATAAATATATATATATATATGTATATATATAATGCTTACAACCAAACAATCTCAGGAGGTGCAGAAAATTGTACATCCTGCTGCTTTAGAAGAAGAAAATTCCTTGGATAGTTTGACACCGCGTGAAGTATTTACTAAGAACCACAAAGATTTGATGAAGAAAGGAGAAAGATGGACGAAGGAGACGACAACTTTTTCCAGCGTAGTATCTGCTCTCATTGTTACCATGACTTTTGCTGCCGTATTCACAGTTCCTGATCTGGAAGAAAACACAAACAAGAAGTTACGCAAGGTTTTAATAATTTCCGATGGAATATCACTTTTTTCTTCCGCATCTTCATTGTTTGTGTTCTTAGGGTTATTCTTGAGCGCGCGGTATGAAGAACATGACTTCCTCATAAACTTGCCGTTGAAATTGATGGTTGGAATTTCCTCACTTTTCATCTCCATTATAACCATGCTTATAGCCTTTTGTGCGATCCTTCTCCTTCTGCTCCCTGAATCATGGGTTCCAATCATTTTGCTCGCAGCCCTTACTGTCACATTATTTGCGGCCATGCCATTCAGTCTCTTGATTATAATGTTTAAGTCTACTTTCTGTAACAGACTTTCTTTAACTCTTAAGAGTAGGAAGAAGCCCACCAATGCAAAAAACGACGATTAGGTTGGTATTCATTAGATATTGATGTGTGTGTGTTTTGTGCGCGTATTACTAACTAGGCTTGCTAAATGAATAAATGTCGCACTGGCTGTGTATCGTTTTCATATATTATTTTAATACATTGTTTTACAAATCATGCTAGTTCAGTGAAGGCATGATTGTCATTTTGTAGCGTGTTGTATCGTGTTATATGTTATTGTAAAAAAATTCCTATATACCTTTAATTCTTTTTTTTTTCTTTTTTTCCTTTTCCTCTTTTTCTTTTTTTTTATTAGCTTTGTTTTTATTTTTCTTCTTTTCTTTTATTTATTGACATTTTTTATTTGTTTTTCCCCTAACATTCTTTGACCTTTACTCTTTTTTTTTTTTACAATATCTTTCCTTGAAATACTTTCTTTCCCTCTCTTTCTTTTAATTTAAATAATTCCTTTTTAATGATTCCGTGGTTAAACTCCTTTTTTTTTTTTTGTGTGTCAAAAACTCCTATATAACTTTAATTATTTTTCGATGTGATTTTTTCAAATTATTTTTTTTTTCTCTTGCTCCAATTAATAGAATTAACTTTTAAGGAGGCTACATATTTAAATTAGGAAAAATTTTATTTTGGTACCTTATGTTATATCAAAATATGAATCATTTATTCAAAATTAAAAGAATAGAGACCAAATCGTCATCTACTAAATAGTTTAGGGACTAAGAATATCAATACTTTCTTTTAATTATTATAATTTAGAGTGAAAGATTTAACACATGACAAGTTTCATATTTGGTATTAATCTAATTAAGATGTGTTAAATTTCTCTGGTCATATAAGTCACTCTCCTTCCATTTACTTAAAAAAGTACTTGACCAAGCTCTATATGTTTTACGCAAGCAAAAAAGTGCTGCTCGCTCCCGCAAGACTTTATTGTTAAAAGAGGGTTAGAGAGAAGGTGGATTAAAAGGTAAGCTTCAACACGCGATACACGGAGTTAACAAACTAGACTTGAGATTTAGCTAAAGTTTTTGGAATATATTCGGGGTGCTATTATATATGAAATGAAAATCATCTTATCATATATTCGGGTGCTATTATATATGAAATGAAAATAACTACAAAAAAAAAAAAAAAAAAAAGACTCATCTTAATTTGTCTCATATGTCTTTTTTGTATTTGTCTCCGTATGCTGATATGTCTTTTTTTGTTAGTGAAAAGAATAAATTTAAGGGTTATTTACAAAAATAGCACCGATACAACAATTATCTCATGACTAATATTACTTTTTCATACTTTTATTTTTAGCACTATCATGTCAGCAATTGAGAGACCTACAAAATTATATTGTGAGATACTTACTCAATTATTAACAAAAGTTCAATTTCATATAATCTGAGCAAATTGGTCTGAGTTTTCATTTTTCAAGTAGTCATTACGATAATTACCAATGATAACTATGGCGTAACTCATATAGTAATTATTATATTTACTAGTAGTTATAATAGTGATTATTAGCATATACTATATTTACTAGTAGTTATAATAGTGATTATTAGCATTATATGCTAAACTTCTTTCTCATGAGTAGGATTTTTATGCTAAATGCACTTTCAAATTAATTTTTATTTTTTTACGCTAAGAAGGTTATGGCTTAGAGTAGTTTGATAGACATTTATATGTTTACACTAGTAGTTATAGATATGACCCTAAATAATTGTAGTTATAATAGTGATTATTAGCATTATATGCTAAACTTCTTTCTCATGAGTAGGATTTTTATGCTAAATGCACTTTCAAATTAATTTTTATTTTTTTACGCTAAGAAGGTTATGGCTTAGAGTAGTTTGATAGACATTTATATGTTTACACTAGTAGTTATAGATATGACCCTAAATAATTGTCGTTATGACTATTTCTAGTTGCCCCACGATTATTTTCCAAGACCTGATAAAAGGGAAAGCAATTTCACAAGTTAAGAACCTAATAAAATCATCAAAAAAATAAAACAGAAGCCTCCTTTGAATGGTAATTGTATAATATATATATATATATATATATATATATATTTATCATTAGCAAAAAATAAAAATAAATAAATAAACAAGATCCACGAATTCAACCAAGAAAGATATATTTCCCGCGCAAATTTTTGGTGGCGACAAGGGAAGAAGGTACTCATAAACCCAAGCGAATACAGTCGCATAATAACAGTTTGAAAAAACAAAATAGAACACAGCCCTCTGTATTCTGCTAATTTAGTCAAAGCGGTGAATTGTGCGCTTCTTGCAATCCAGTTAAGCATGATCAATCTTTATAACAGTCCTCAGGTCTTCTGCCCCAAGTTTGTATTTTTCCATGCTCTCATAAAAGAGTACACGCAGTACGAGAACATATACATTTGCTTCGGGTATGTTTGGTTGTGATTTTTAGAGTTCAAAATTAATTTTCTAACTATCCACAGCTGACAATGGTGTTTAGTAAAAACCATAAAAAAGTGATTTTTAAAGAATTTTTAAAGAATTTACAGCCAAAATCAAAAGTAGCCCAAAAGTAACTTTGACTTTTATATTGTGCGGGAATCAGCATGAAGTACAATTAATGAAACTTTTATAATACCCATAATATCCTTAGTGAAATCTAAAATTCCCAATCTTACCAAACACTCAGCTATTTTTTTGTAACCGTTGTTTTTTTCTTCAGCACAGCTAACGTTAATTTTTCTAACATCTACAGCACTATCAAACTAGCCTTCATCTTGTTCTAAGTTCTAACACCTTTGTGCAGTCTGCCACAACTTTCTTATCATTATTTCACAACAAAAATACTTGTGGCGATGACTATAAATGAACAAACACCCATTTGAATCTTTCCTTGGGTCTGTTGTGGTTGTTTTTTTCAGAGTTTCTCGCGCAGATTAGAAGTAAGGAATGACGCGGATTAGAAGTAAGGAATGGAACAAAGAAGTAATGCATGGAATAAAGAAATATAATGTGAGGGAGTGAACATGGAAAGCAAAAGGTTCGTCTATTATAGTGCGAAGGAAAGAATGTGGAAGAAAAAGGAAGCAATAAAATAATTGAAGGAATAATAGAAAATTTGTAGTTGAATTAATATTAATATAGAGGTGTCTTGAATAGTGGTGCGGTAGTGCATGAAAAGTAAGGAAATGAGTGAAGGTTGTAATGGAATAATGTTATTAAAGGTATAATTTAGAGAAAACGAATGTTGTGGTAATAATTTTGTGTTTAGAATAATGAGAGATAAAATAAAGTTTGTAGTAGAGTGAATATAATATAAGAGGGGTATTTAATAAATATCAAACTTGGCATGACGTTTCAAGTAACCTCGAATTTGTACTGAACACAGAGTAAGTAGTACATTGACAAACGTCATAGTACATAAACCATGCGAAATTATTTTAAAATCCGCAATGTGACAACGTGCTTCCACTGAAATTAATTTTTAATTGGTCTTTAAAAGGTGTCTCGTAGATAACTAAAAAAAAAAAAAAAGATTATTTATTCCTTAAAGCATTCAAAGTTAGCCAAAGTCTCCACCATAAGAGAGAAGTAATTCCGTACCATTTTTGTTGCGTCGTAATACCGCTTTCATTATTTCTTATATAAATATAAAGGACAAAGCATGCACCCTTGCTGAGGCATACAATTATCTCTTCCCCGTCAAAGCGCACAAGTAATCTTCCAAATATAATGTACGTCCTCTTATCATATCATTATTTTAATTTTTTTGTCATATATATTTTTTTATAGTTTATGTGCGTTTCTTCTTATTCATATGCAGTGCTGGAACTTCGGGTCGGCGGGCTGCCCGAAGCCCGAATTTTTTCAAGCTCGGGCGGGCAAGTCCATTTCCCGCCCGCCCAAGTAAGATTTCGGGTTCGGGCTCGGGCAGCCCGAATTTGACATGTCCACCCTTGCCTGCCACCGTCTAATCACCGTATACCGCCGTCCGCCGGGATTTTTTTGAAATTTTCCGACCATGCCCGAACTGCCCGAATTGCCCGACCCGAAAATGCCTAAAAATTCGGTGTGCCCGACCCACTGCCCGAATCACTCAAACGGCTGTTTTTTTGAATTTTGCCCGAAATTTTCCCGCCTGCCCGAGATGCCCGAACTGCCCGAATACCCGAAAACGGCTAGTTTTTTTAATTTTTACCCGAATTCTGCTCGAAAACCTAATCTGCCCGAATACCCGAAAATGGCTAGTTTTTTAAATTTTGCCCGAAAACTCGACTTGCCCGAGGTTGCCCGACTGCCCGAATTTTAAAAAATAGCCGTTTATCCCTTTTTTTTTTTAAAGCATTTTTTAACCCCAAAATTTCCCTATAAATACCCCCCATCCCCCACACATTTTTCTCACTCAAATTCTCTCAATCCCTCTCAATCTCTCTCAATTTCTCTCAATCTCTCCCAATCTCTCTCAATTTCTCTCAATCTCTCTCACAATTTTTCTAAAGCTCCCTCTCTCTCAAATTCATCTTATTTTTTTTATAATGGATCCTTTTGGTTATAATGGTATTCCCGTTGATGCCCAACACAATGTAGAAGAAGGGCAATTTCCCACTAATGAGTTTGTTACGCAACAATCTACTAATTCAAGCCATGGAGGTCGTGGTCGCAATAGTGGGCGTGGAGAAGCGGTGGCGAGTGCGACTGCGTCTGCGTCTGCGTCGGCAAGTGTTGCAACCTCCTGGAGGAAATGCAAGCGTACCTCGACAGTTTGGGATCACTTCGACATAATTGACGAGGTGGATAATGAAGGTAACACTAAACATATAGCTCAGTGTAAATATTGTTTATCTAAATTACAAGGTGACACTATTCACGGCACCACACACTTGAGACGACACTCCGAAAAGTGTCTTCAAAAGCTTAGCCAATCTAGCGGACTCGAACTCCGCCAAACACAATTATCTTTTGATCGCGTAACCGGTGGTCTAACCACTTGGAAATACACTCCACAAGTAGATCGTATGGAAGTTGCGCGAATGATAGATGCTTTAGATCAACCACTTAGTTTTGTAGAGCATCCAAATTGGCAACGATATATTAAGGTTGTACACAATCCTAATGCACAGTTCACTTCAAAAATTACTCTTAGGAAAGATTTATTAAAATTATTTAAAAAAGAAAAAGATGCATTAATAAACCTTCTACACTCGACTAGCGGGTGCGTTGCGTTAACGGCTGATATTTGGTCTGCCATTGCCAATAAAGATTATTTAGCTGTAACCAGACATTACTTTAAAGGATTTGATTTAGATAAGAGAATATTAGGTTTTAAATGTGTTCTAGGATCACATAGCGCAGATTTAATATATAACACAATTTTAAATGTAATTGATGAATTTAGTTTAAGAGATAAAGTAATGGCTATAACATTAGATAATGCTAGTGCCAATACAAAAGCAATTGAATTCTTTGAAAATGATTTAAGTCTATTAGGTGACGGTACTATTTTTCACCAACGTTGTGCATGTCATTTAAGTCTATTCGGTGACGGTACTATTTTCCACCAACGTTGTGCATGTCATGTAATCAATTTATAGTTAAATCCGGTTTAAAAGAAATGGGTAATCACATTAAAAGAATTAGATATAGTCTTGCATGGATTCAAGGTAGTAACCAAAGACAAGAAGATTGGTTTAGGTTCTTACAAGCATTAAATATACCTCCTAGAGCATTAGCGTTAGATATGCCTATAAGATGGAACTCAACTTATATTATGCTTCAATAATGCATCCCTTATAAGAATGCTATAACAAACTATATGTGTGCAAAATTAGGAGTAGGACATATAGATGAATTTGATTGGCAAATTGCCGAAGTTTTGTATCAATTTTTAGGTAGGTTTCATGAAGTTACTCTAAAACTTAGTGGAACATACTACCCAACATCACCTTTAGCTTTAGGAGAACTTTTAAGAATTAGTATTTTATTTCACGAATATAGGGAGGACCCAATCTTAGGAGTTCCTATTCAGTCTATGGAAAAAAAATTTAAAAAATATTGGTCTAAGTTGCCTTTGTTATATGGTTTAGGTATAATTTTTGATCCTAGATTAAAATTAGACGGATTAGAAAGTGGTTTAGAAAACTTAGGTGAATTTTTAGGCATCACTTGTACGGACCAATTTTCAATAATAAAGGTGAAAATATATGAGATCTATAGTAAATATAATATTAGGTTTAGAAGCACAAACTCTAGAGTAGAGGAACCGCAACAACAGGATGAAGCATTCATTCTTGAATGTTTTCGGGTTAAAGAAGAAGAAGAAGAAGACAACTCAAACGGAAGCTGTGAGTGGAAGTGGATCTTCATCAACAAGTGGCAGTGGCGGCAGCAGCTTCAACGAGCTTATTGCGTACCTCAGTGAAGGCTTAGTAGTCGGCAGTGCGGCAGAATCGTTTGACTTAGTTCAATGGTGGAGGGCACGGGCATTAACTTGGCCAATCCTAACTCGATTGGCAATGGATATATTTTCGATCCCAGTCTCCACTGTTTCATCCGAACAAGCCTTCAGTAAGACAGGAAGAATACTTGAGGAACGCCGGAATGCATTGCAAAGGGATATTGTTGAAGCCTTGGTTTGCATTAAGGATTGGGATCGGGCCGATCAACGTCTACAAGATACAATTTCACCGGCAAGCCAAGAATGGATCGATGAATTTAATCGATTAACATTTAATTTTGAAGGCGATCCCTCAGCTTCAAATTAAATTGTAAATTTGTAATTTGTAAATATGTATTTACTTTTTACATTGTATTTGTAATTTAATAAACAATGTAAGTTTGTACAATTTTTAATTCTTCACAAAATGATTGCACTCTTTTTTCCTTGCCAAGTTTTTATCCCAATTGGGTATTTCTTGGTAAGGTCTTTAACGAGGCAATCGTGAATTACAAATTTAAAAATTAATAAAGAAATAATTTTTTTATATAGTTCATGTGTTCATTTCAAATTGTAATATATATAGATATAAATATAATATATATATATAAATAACTTAATATTAAAAAAAAGTTTAAAAAATTTGGATAATTTGGGCGGGCTCGGGGCGCCGAATACAAGCCCGTGGCCCGTTCAAGGTGAAATTTAGACTCGGGCGGGCGGCCCAAAAATCTCGAGCGGGTCAGGTTCGGACTCGGGCAAATCCTCGGGTTTTTCGGACGGTCGCGGACGGCCCGTCCAAAGTTTCAGCACTATTCATATGTAGCTTTCTTCTCCTTTTCTTTTCTTTTCTATTAGGATTAATTATAAATTTTTTTTTTGAATTATATCTTTTATAACATTTTATTTCTTAATTTTTAAATCGTAATATTCATTCTTTTTAAATTATACTCACTTTATTTTTTGATATTTAAAGCGTAACATTTCTTTCTCTAAATTAGAGAAATGTGCAGGGTAATAAGTACTTAACAAGTATAACTACGAGGATTGGAGTGGAGTGGTTAAAACCTACTTGATTGCTCACGATCTCTGGGATGTCGTACAACCTGCAGTTGAAATATCGAATCACAAAATACCAAAATCAGAAGGTTATAATTTGGAGGAGGACAAGATCAAGAATGCTAGAGCTCTTCATGCAATTCAGATTTCATGTGGGCCAGATGCCCCTTCGGCTATTCAGGGGATCTTTTCAGTGAAAGATGCTTGGCGTATTTTAGATGAAACGTTTAAGCTATATTTCTTTATAAAATTCACAAATAGTAAAGAAGGTACGAATTCACGGATAATATTGTTTAGTAAAAATCATAAAAAGTGATTTTTAAAATTTGTTGAAAGAATTTACAGTTAAAATAAAAAATAACCCAAAAATAATTTTGATTTTTACATTGTGCGAGAATCAACATGAAGTATAATTAATAAAACTTTTATAATATCTATAATACTCTTAGTGAAATCTAAAATTCTCAATCTTAACAAACACTCAGCTACTTTTATAACCGTTGCTTGTTTCTTTAACACAGCTAACATTAATTGTTTTAAAATCTACAGCACTACCAAACCGGCCATCTATCTTGTTCTAAGTTCTAACACCTTTGTGCTGTCTGCCACAACTTTCTTATAATTATTTCACAACAAAAATACTTGTGGCGATGACTATAAATGAACAAACGCCCATTTGAATCTTTCCTTGGGTCTGTAGTGGTTGTTTTGTTCAGAGTTTCTCACGCGGATTAGAAGTAAGGAATGACGCGGATTAGAAGTAAGGAATGGAACAAAGAAGTAATGCATGGAATAAAGAAATATAATGTGAGGGAGTGAACATGGAAAGCAAAAGGTTTGTCTATTATAGTGCAAAGGAAAGAATGTGGAAGAAAAAGGAAGCAACAAAATAATTGAAGGAATAATAGAAAATTTGCAGTGGAATTAATATTAATATAGAGGTGTCTAGAATAGTGGTGCGGTAGTGCATGAAAAGTAAGGAAATGAGTGAAAGTTGTAATGGAATAATATATAGGATTAATTAAAAAAATTCTCCATGAATTATACCCCTTATAATATTTTACTCTCTAATATTCAAAACGTAACATTCGTTCCTTTTAAATTAAACCCTTTATAACACTTTATTACTCCCCGATTTTTAAAACGTAACATTCACTTCTATTGAATTATACCAATTGTAACACCTTGTTAGGGAGAATGAATGTTACATTTTATAGATCAAGGAGAGTAAAATGTTATTAAAAATATAATTTAAAAGGAACGAATGTTATGTTTTAAAGATCTGGACAATAGTTTTGTGTTTAATAAATATCAAACTTGGCACGACGTTTCAAATAACCTCGAATTTGTACTGAACACAGAGTAAGTAGTATATTGACACACAGAATAGTACATAAACCGTGCGAAATTAAATTTTCCGTTCACTTCACTGATTCGAGTTTAGAATTTGAGTTTTACTATAGTAAAAAGTTCTCAGAAACAGTCACATCTAACTTTTTTGATACAGTAAAAAACTTTCACATAAAATTATATCTTAACTCAAATTATAAACTCAAATCAACAAAGTGAATGAAAAATTTCACAATGTGACAACGTGCTTCCACTTAAATCACATCTCAACTTTAAAAGATGTCTCGTAGATAACTAAAAAAAAAAAAAAAAGATTCTTTATTCCTTAAAGCATTCAAAGTTAGCCAAAGTATCCATCATAAGAGAGAAGTAATTGCGTACCATTTCTGCTGCGTCGTTGTACCGCTTTCATTATTTCTTATATTTAGATTGTTATATAAAGGACAAGGCAGGCACCTTGCTGAGGCATACAATTATCTCTTTCACGTCAAAGCGCACAAGTAATCTTCCAAATATGACGTACGTCCTCTTATCATATCATTACTTTTTTAATTTTTTTGCCTGATATATTTTGTATAGTTTATGTGCGTTTCTTGTTATTCATATGTAGCTTCCTTCTCCTTTATTTTTTTTTTTTTAGGATTAATTATAATTTTTTTTTTGAATTATATCTTCTATAATACTTTATTTTCTGATTTTTAAAATATAATATGCATTCTCTCTAAATTATATCCATTATAATACTTTATTCTTTGATCTTTAAAACGTAATAAATCCTTTCCTTTAATGTCCTCTTTATCGATTTTTTTTTTCTTTTTTTTTCCTAATCTCATTTCGTCACAAGTTTGAGTATGTGTGTATTTGTTTATATAAAACATATTCGTAACGGAATGAGTCGTGAAAATTTTTGTCTAAAAAGTACGTTCCTTGCCTTTCTAGTGCTTTTTTTTTTTTTTTTTAATTATTGTCTTTTACAGTAAATGTTTGGCTTTCTGCGCGCTGTTGCATGTATTTTTGAAAATTCTTGTACCCTCTCTATTTAACTAAACAATATATGCACATAAGTGTAACAATTGAAGTATTTAAGCCATCGAGTTTAGAAATCTTCGTCCTTGTTCTGTTCTCTCTCCATCTGCCCTTTGCTATTCCAATTGTAATATGATTTGACAGTGAAAATTTGTGTCATATTATTTTTTTTTTTTAATCTCCTAGAACATAAGTCCACATAATTTTTTGTTTCAATCTTCTAGGCTTGACAGAAATATAATATATTTGCCCAATGGGTGTTAATGCAACTTTTTTGGGGAAAGAATCAAAGATGTCATTTTCTTTAAAGAATTAAATACTAATTTTGGTATTTAAGTTATTGATTATAGTTAAAAGACTTATGGCATGATATGAAAAAAAAAAAAAAAAAAAAAAAAGCCTGTGCACGTTCTTTATGTTGGGGATAGTTGTCAAGTAGTTCTCATGGATCTTTTAGTTGTTAATGATTATAACAAGCTTAGGTGCTCTTTTTTCCTTTGGGTTTTACTAGAAAAGTTTCTACTGAGGCCTATTGTAATATATAGCTGATTTTTAAAGGTAGATTCTTTGGCTTAGCCTTTTGGCCTCAGCTTACTGCTTGAGATATATATTTTTCTTTTTTAACTGTTATGCTGTATTTCTTCTCTTTTTGGAACTTGTGATGTATTTTTTTTTTCTTTTTTTCATTAACAAGAATTTGAGGTAGGACTTTCAAGAGGTGCTGATTTAGCTGGGATATGTTTTAATTTTTTTTTTTATGCTAATTGCACCTTCGTACCTTTATTTTTAATAAAAAAAAAAGAAAAAAAAAAAAGAAGATTTTAATCAGATCTGACGCATGTACTACCGGTAAAAACCCCAAACTTATAAGAAAGATCCCACAATAACAAATTGGTAATGAAATGTGCAGGGTAATTATAAGTACAAACGTTGTTTATGAAGTACTTAACAAGTATAACTACGAGAATTGGAGTGGAGTGGTTAAAACCTACTTGATTGCTCACGATCTCTGGGATGTCATAGAACCTGCAGTTGAAGCAGCTCAAAAGCCTCAAATAAAAGATCATAATACTATAGAAGACGAAACATCAGAATTCGAAATATCAGCGGAACGCAAAATACCAAAATCAGAAGGTTATAATTTGAAGGAGGACAAGATCAAGAATGCTAGAGCTCTTCATGCAATTCAGATTTCATGTGGGCCAGATGCCCTTTCTGCTATTAAGGGGATCTTCTCAGCGAAAGATGCTTGGCGTATTTTAGATGAAACGTTTAAGCCAGATTTCTTCATAAAATTCACAGATAACAGTGAAGGTACGCATTAATAATTTCTAGCTTTCTCTGTATGTATACCATGAACGCAAATTCTATGCAGCGAATTTTACTTGCAATTTTAAAAACAAAAACTTGAATTCGTGACAAAAAATTTAATTTCGCAAATCGGCCATTAAACTTCAGAGGATTGCCACAACAAAATGTAAATTAAGGTAGCTAGCTAAATAGAGCATTAGTAATTGACATTGGCAGTTATCACTAAATAGAGCATTAGTAAGTCAAAACTACAAAGAAATTCATTAATGAAAGCAAGAGAGCCAGTTAATAGCCTATTTGAGTAAACTCATCTCTAAACAGAGAAACAATTTCCCGAAAGGGAAAAACCCTTAAAAACACAAAATGCACCACAAAATTACAAAATCCCAAATCGAGTAATTGACGGCACTCAAATAAAAAAAAAAACAAAATGTACAACAAAATCACTTAATCTCACAAATTAACCTATTCACAAATTAATACATCATTAATCTCAAATGTTCATTAGCTTTCTAAGTTATAATTTTATCAATAAGGTTCCAAAGAAGAATCAAATTTTCCACCTAAATTTTGGTAACAAAATTTTTGGTAGCCAAAGATCAATTTTCTTGTAGTGATATTGGGCTCCATATACATAGACAATACAAACGCATAATCAGGTTAGTTATCCAGTACTAAAATTAATTAAGAGATTTTCTTTTCTTAATGATGAGAAGGAGCCATCTCATATCATTAGAGATAGTCACAATGTCGTTGGGTACTCATGAAATATAAACCATACGATTGCCCTATTGACATTCATTGCATGTGGACTTATGTCTTTTTGACTTAATTTGCATATCATCGGTATACTAGAAGAGAGTTTAGATTGGCTTGACGACGTGGGCAAGGAGTTCGAGCAAGCTTTAAACACAGAAGACTGGGAGAAAGTAAAGAAGATGTACACCAAAAATCCTGGCCTGTTGAAAGGAAGATTTTCGTCTAATAAATTTTCAGCCCTTCACTATGCAGCACTGCTCAGTGGAAGACCAGACATTGTGAAGGAAATGGTGGAAAAAATGAGTACGGAAGACATGGAAATCAAAGATTCATGTAATGGCCGCACAGGACTTGTGGCGGCCATAGTTGCAGGGTCTGTGGAAATGGTAGAATGCATGGTGAACAAGAATTCTGAATTAATAAGCATCGAAGATAATACTAAATCCCTTCCGATCGACGTAGCCCTTGCTTGTGGTCATATCGACATGATTCACTGTCTGTATGATGCTACTAAAGAGTATCTATCATCTCGTGATGACGTCGCCTGTAGAAAACACGGGGCCAGGGTTATTTCAAAATGCATAAAAAAGAGAATTCCCGGTAAGATAAGTAGAACTAGTAGCTTTAATTTCTGTTCGACGTTCGTATTTAAACTATATTTTTTTACTTAACTCGCGTAGATTGTTAAACATTGAATTTATTATTTAAACGCCACAGGGACATTAGATATTGCCTTGGATTTACTGAAACAAGAAAAAAGTTTAGCTCTTGCTAAAGACGACACTGGGGAATCTCCCTTGTACCTACTCGCATGTTCACCTAATTTCCTATTTGGTGAGCTTGGATTTTTCGAGCGATGGATATATAAATGTGAGTCTCTTTGTATATAGCTCTTTTTTTCTTTCCTTTTTTCTTGTGTTCTCCCTTTTCAATACACACTACTACTTAGATATTATATTATATGTACATATAACAGACAAACAAACACACATATATCTGTTATAATAATCTCTATACCTTTAAATTTTTTTTTTTTAAATGAAACCTTGTCATTAAACATGGATTTTTAAGTGAATGCTTTTGAATTCTCACAGTAGTACCTTAATACCTTATAATTTACTCCTTTTTTTTTTCCCAGACTAACCTTGTAATTTACTTATACCAATCGAACTGCAGGGTTGGATTCATTCAGCTCACTAGTAAAAAAACTGCTTAATAAACTTCTAGGTATATCAAACAGTTTTAACAAATATAATTCACCTGATATCCTATCATTGTATTAAAATGTCATTTTATGTACTTTTATAACAAATCTGTTCCTGATCGATCGTTTGTTACTCTAAAGGAATTGAACAGATACGAGAAAAGAAATTGGTTCATGAACGTTCCTTGGAGCTACTGGGTGAGATGTGCAAAGCGGTTAAGAATATAAAAGATAAGAAAGAATTGAAAGATGGTTTAGTGTTGAAGGCGCTATTCGCGGCTGTGGAACGAGGAAACATTAAATTTGTCTCTAAACTGATTTCCAAGGTTCCAGCACTTCGGATGAGCACTGATGAGTATTCAAGGGGCATTTTCATGCATGCGATTGAATGGCGTCAAGCAAAACTGTTTAACTACATGCTTGGACCTGTAAGCGATAATTTTTTGTTAGCAATGACCAGTTGTATGAAAGATAAGTTTGGTAATAACTTGCTACATGTAGCTGCAACGTTATGTCCGTCCACCAAACTCGATCGTGTTCCTGGAGCAGCTTTGCAGATGCAAAGAGAAATACAATGGTTTAAGGTAAAGATTAGACGGTTATAAAAATGCAATGTTTTTGCCATATGAATGCCGGGAATAATCACTTGTCAGATTAGACGGTTATAAAAATTAGTAATTAGAAATAGACTTTGATATAACAAGTATTATTCTTGTGTCTACTATATAATATTTGTACGAAATAAAAGAAATAAATTTACACACCCGCCCAAATATAATGCTATTAATCAAACCAATATTTGAGCAACAAAATTCCTTATTGCACACACACACACACACACATATATATATATATATATAATGATTACAATCAAACAATCTCAGGAGGTGCAGAAAATTGTACATCCTGCTGCTTTAGAAGAAGAAAATTACTTGGATAGTTTGACACCACGTGAAGTATTCACTAAGAACCACAAAGATTTGATGAAGGAGACGGCAACTTTTTCCAGCGTAGTATCTGCTCTCATTGTTACCATGACTTTTGCTGCCGTATTCACAGTTCCTGATCTGGAAGAAAACACAAACAAGAAGTTACGCAAGGTTTTAATAATTTCCGATGGAATATCACTTTTTTCTTCCGCATCTTCATTGTTTGTGTTCTTAGGGTTATTCTTGAGCGCGCGGTATGAAGAACATGACTTCCTCATAAACTTGCCGTTGAAATTGATGGTTGGAATTTCCACACTTTTCATCTCGATTATAACCATGCTTATAGCCTTTTCTGCGATCTTTCTCCTTCTGCTCCCTGAATCATGAGTTCCAATTCCAATCATTTTGCTCGCAGCCCTTACTGTCACATTATTTGCTGCCATGCAATTCCGTCTCTTGATTATAGTATTTAAGTCTACTTTCTGTAACAGACTTTCTTTAACTCTTAAGAGTAGGAAGAAGCCCACCAATGCAGAAAAGGACGATTAGGTTGGTATTCATTAGATATTGATGTGTGTGTGTTTTGTGCGCGTATTACTAACTAGGCTCGCTAAATGAATAAATGTTGCACTGGCTATGTATCCTTTTCATATATTGTTTCTATACATTGTTCTATAAATCATGTTACTTCAGTGAAGGCATGATTGTCATTTCGTGGTGTGATGTATCGTGTTATATGTTATTGTTATACAATAAGTAATTGTTTGGTTTTGTGTTTGTCTTATCTGTTGTTTCAATTATACAATATTAAGTTACCATATCATGTTACCATGTCCTGTTATATTAAATATTGTTATACGACAAGTAATTGTTTGGTCTTCTACGAATAATTTTTTTTCACTTTACTTCTATGAACATAATTTTTTATGTGTTTCTCACTAAAAAAAAATTTTCAAAATGTTGAGGTGCTCATATGTAATTATGAAAAAATAAGGTACTAAATTCATATTTTAATATAACACGCGGTACTAAAATGAAATTTTCCCTTTAAATTATACTGCATGAAGTGCTAATACAACAAATCTAACGCCCCCTAAAGTTATGCTATAACAAACTCTGACTGGTCAAATTCTACCATTCTTAATAACATTCAAGTTAATTTTGTCTAGTGGAACAAAAATAAAAGGAAAGGAATAAACAAGACACAGCATGTGAATCGGGCATACAAGCTAGCCATCAAGTTTAGGGAAAAAAAAAAAAAAAAAAAAACTGAGAAAAGATCATAAGATCATATCCCGCTGGTACACCACAAACAAAACTGAGGAAAAGAGTTTAGAAATTAGAATATACTCGCAAAATATAACTTCAAAGAAGGTTTATATATCATTGTGGAGTGATTTTTATAGATAATACTACAATATTTTTCACAAACCACATTCGAAGGGCTCTAATAATAATGTAATTATTACTTAAACAAATTTGTATAGAGAAGATCGCAGTGCTGAGAAAACTACTCGCCAGCCATTTTGTGAAGGGTGAATTACGTCCCAGAAGAAAGATGAGTTGGGATTATTGCATACGGTATATTTCTTTGACCCACTTCCGTCAACACTCCCACATGAGTGTCCATTGCTTATACCAACACAGCATGGCTTCAATGGATTATCAATACCTAACGTTAAATTTCCTGCAAGAGAATATAATACAATTATATGGATGACATGACGGAGAGGATGATCACTTGTAGGTATAAAGATGTAATTAGCACATATAAATAATTATTTTTTGATCAGTCCCACAGACTAAGATTTATCCCAATCCCACTTTGATTTTTGATTTTAAAACGTCACACAATTAGTTCTTGAGCTTGTTTGGTTTTCTTCAATAATTAGCAAATATAAGCAATCACTCTATCATTGTTAATATTTTATCCTTAGCTTGTTTGGTTTTCTACACTAATTAGGGGTAATAAAGTAATTTAACGCCACTGTCTAATTACGTGGACAATTAGTTATCAGTTTTTAGAAAATATGACATAGCCATTCTTCCATTGGATAATAATGAGTGTGTGTGTGTGTGTATACATATATATAAAGTGTGTGAGATTTGATTACGGTAGTTTGATAATTTAAATCAAATTCAAATATAAATAATATTTCCTATTCTAAGATTCAAATTAGGAAACTGAGTAAGTACAAATATTAAATAATTAAAATACCAATATTTAGATTCCTTATTTACAATTTGGATTAAAAAAATCCCACCAAATTAGGAGAGATCAAAATTGGGGGTTCTTTTAAGGATTTTAAATGGCCCGCTGGCCACATTCATGCTCTAATATTCTAGTCCTTCCTATTAAACAGCTACGAATCCTGAAATTCTTCTACTAATCTCTCAAGCCTTTTTTTTTTCTTTTTTTTTTCCCCTTTTCAATCGCTTCTACTAAAAAAGCTCTAAGAGATGTGTACTGGTGATATCTCTTCTCTTCGTCATAGCGTTAATACAAATTCCAATCTAAAAATTATCCTGTCCAATTTAAACAAAAATAGTACTATATTATTTGTTAAGAAAAAAAAAAAAAAAAAAAAAAAGATACCTGTTACGTTTTCATGCTTCATCTTAAATGCATACATGAAGGTTTTATGGAGATCAAGAACAAGAACCACGTTCTTCTCGCTCTGATTGCTACTATTTTGCAGAATTTGCTTCAATATTTCGTTATGAGAATCCGAGACCGAGTTCCAAATTTTACTGCAATTTCGGTACGAAGTAGGGGATGTGAATGGAGGAAGACATCCCAGAGGTTGTAATGCTGTAACTGCTATTTTTGGCACTCCCAAGTTGTGAATGCGCTTCAGGTTCACAACAAGTTGGTTAACAATTGACATGGTCACATTCGCCAAATCCTATTATTATGTGGAAAAGATAATAGCATTACATTAGCATCATTGAGCTAACACTACAAGAATAATTACTTTAAGAGACCAAATTTTTTTATGCCAAAAAATTTTTGGTAACAAAAAACACATTTTTTGCTACCAAACTTTGGTAGTTGAAAGTATCAAGGCTTTAATTACCAAATTTGGTAGCAAAAATAACACAATCCGCTACCAAATATAATTTAGTAACAAACAACATGACGGGAAATGAAATTTGGTTCCCGCCAATAGCTTTTTGCTACCAAAATAAGATTTGGTAACAAAAGCATAAGATTCTGCTACTAAAAATTTGGTAGCAAAATATTACTTTTTTGCTACCAAACATGTTTTGGTAACAAAAAGTTGGCGGGAAGCAAAATTTTTTCTCGCCCGAGATATTTACTACCGAATTATTTTTAGTAACAAAACATATAACATTTGCTACCAAGTATTGGAAGCAAAATGTAACTATCTGCTACCAAAATTTAGTACCGAAAAATCAAGTTTTTACTACCAAAAAAGAATTTTTTGCTACCAAATTTTGGTAGCAGAAAACAAGAATTTACTAATTTGACATGGTCACATTCGCAAAATCCTATTATTATGTACAAGAGATAATAGCATTACATTGGCATCATTGAGTTAACCAAGAGAAAATATTGATGCGGCCAAGACAAACAATTTTGGGAAAAGAGCGAAAATTGTTAATTAAACAGCAGAAAATCTCCTAATATTCTACCGTTTTTTGAAACTACAAAGGAGAGGAAGGGAGAGATATGTTCTTATGCGGAAGAAAATGAGATGAATAAAAAGAGTTTACATGATTTGGCAAAAACGCAGGGCTTCGTATAAATACAAATTACAATCGCATAAATTATCAAATCTCTTGAAATCAAGAGCTTTCTTAAATTTAAAATTGACGCAAGTAAATTAATCAAACTACAAATATAGGTAATTATAGAATAATACGAAACTTTTCTAAATATATAATCTCTATTATAAAAAAAACTATGGCCTCGTTCACTTTACAAATTCGAATTTTCAATTTGAACTGAGATATGATATTTTTTAAGAGTTTTTAACTATAGCAAAAAAAATTAAATGCGACATTTTCTGAGCACTTTTAACTTAGAAACCTAAAATTGAAAATTTAAATTAGCGAAATGAACGATATCTATATAAATCTTAAAAATTATCCTCTCACACGGATCTATTCTTCTTTCAATTTCTCCTTATCTTACCAAACAACATCTTAGAAGAGTGTATTAAAATTAATAAGCAAACCAAGATAGTCAACTACCACAAGACCACATAGAGAAGTGGTTTAAGTACAACTCACCTCCATGTTATTGTTAACTCCTTCCTTGTAGATGTATGCAGCATAGTCGTTGCCGGCGACGGAGACGAGAGCAATCGACGATTTAAGGTCGCGTTTTGTATAGAATTTTTGTTCAATTAGCTGTTGAAAGAAATCGATTTGAGTCGACATGTTGGGTTCTTTCTCCATTGTATTAAACACACCAGTCCCTCCAAATGCAAAGTTCATGCCGTCCTTCAGTTTTGCCTTTTTTATAGACTTTCTCCATATGTACGGGACTGGAGATTGAATGCCCAGAAAGGAAGCTGTGTGATTTTATAGGAAAAATAATATTTTAGGAATTAAAAACAATTTGTAAGACCAAAAAAAAAAAAAAAAAAAACATGCATGAAATTGAAAAAAATGAGAAACTTTTATTAGTTTTGCACCTTTGTTTTTGGAAGGAAGATAGCAAATATGGTGAGGTTAGAGGAAATGACAAATGGAAAACTGAGATTAGGAGAACATAATGATAAAGCTCGAAATTTGATTTATATATAATCTAAGGGCACATTGTGAGAAGTGTTAACAAATAATTTTTTTTATTTAATATTACATAGTTATAAGTTTCTGTTGTAGTGGGCAAAATTGTTGTTATTATATATGGAAGCATAACTGAATTTTATAACAAAGGATAAAAATGAGAGTAAATTGTACCGTTACACTCTAAATTGTTTGTTTTCTGCACAATGCATTTTAATTGCAACTAATTTTAAAGTTCAAATTGCGGTTTACTAAAATTAAAAGTTCAAGATGGATTGTATAAAAAAATCGAATAGTTTAAGGTGCAACAAAGCAATTAATTCTAAAAATTTTACAACCTTAGTCAAGGCAGGTGTCTTTACTAAATTATATGTAGCTCCGCTACTAAGTATAGAGATTACCTAAGTAATCGGTGAGGACACGACCATCGGAGAATCGGCCGCCCGGTTTTCCAGGAAAAGTGATCCCGTAGGGTGCCTTCCATGACACAGCAGAGGCTTTCTTGCTATTCCCAGTGTCAGCATACGAGTCCCCAAATACAAAAAGCTTCCTCACGGAGCCATGGTGTTGATGATCAAGATGATCATTATGCTTTGGCGACTCCTTGGCTGCAAAGGCAACGATAAACCGCGTCATGAAAGAGTATCCTTGTCTCATTACACGGATTAATACTAAAATGTAACATAAAGAGAGATTATAATTATATACGTACCAATAGATACATCAATATTGATGGTAATAATAAGCAAAAGGAAAAGATAAAACGGGAGATTCTCCATGATCAACAAGAGCAGAGTGCGGAGACTTTTGTACGCATTAAATATAAAGGGAAGCTCTTTTTACTTAGAGATATCTTCTCTTCTTCTTCTTTTTTTTTTTTTTTTTTTTTGCTTAAGACACGTGTAAATGGCAATTATATATATATATATATATATATATATATATGATGAAACGGTAGTTGAACGGTTCGTCTTTCTTTTAGAATTGTTGAACAGCTGATATTCAAACCTAGGTATGGCAAACGAAGAAAATGGAATATGTGATGCGTGTTTCTGACTATTAGTATATGTACTGGTCCACATCACACACAAAGTAAGAGAAAATTACATAATATGCCCCCAAAATTTAACAATTTAACGTTTGGTTGGAGGATTCAAATCATGTGATTCGAATCATTTTCGATTTACGTGTATTTTTTGTGAGAGAAAATACTATAACGAACCACGAATCATGATTCGAATCAGGGAACGAATTCCTCTCCCAAACGTACTTTTTTTTTTTTTTTCAATGCACTCTTGCTATATTTGCTAATTCAAGAACATTCTAATACCCTACCAGAACACGCTCCAAAGACAGGAGTTAAAGATGTCTGGTCATTTTTGTGGAGAAGAAGAGTTAAACTGGTAGGATATACTGATATTTTTTTAGTGAATTGAATAGCATAGACGTTAAGTTTATGAGAAAATTACCTAAAATATGCTGCCGAAATCTGAAGACTGTATATTTATGTCATTGGATATAAATAGACTAGATTATATATTTTTAAGTAAATTGAGTAACATATATTTTAAGTTTTTACCAGTGAATGATTTTATATTTGAGTGCCAATTTATACTATTGGTCGATATAAATGTAAAGTGGGCAATTTTTTTATTAGCATTTTTTTTGTATTTCTTTCAAAAGGTGACGTAGAAAAATTTTGAGGGGGTTATATAAGTACAATATGTAATTGATTTGTATCTAATTGAAGGATCATTTTCCTTTAAAAAAAAAGTACATATTTGACTGAAATGGGATCATATATATTTCTTTTAAAAAAAAATGCCACCATATTCAATGAATTTAAGATAACTCGAAGTCTCAATTTATAATTAATTTATAATTAGGGTGGAAAAATTTACAATTAATTAGACTGCTCATCGGATTCTATATTAAAATGTTATGTCGTTTTACTTTCTACGACCCTAATTGGGCTCTAAGTCCCTAATTGGGCTCTAAGTCCCGCCGTGAAAGAGACCCGATTACATTCATTGGTTGGTTGTCTGATTGACCAGAACACAAAAATAGAATTACATCACAACAAAAAAGCAGAAAGAAAAGCTTCAAAACCAAGTCTTCTTTTTCTTTTCTTTTCTTTTTCCTTTTCCTCTCTCAATTATTTGCTCACTCTCTCTCTCTATCGATCTCGAGCTGAAATCTAAAAATCAAAGGTATGTTTTTTTCTTCGAAATTTATGTTTTTGTTAAAATCCCAGTTCACGATTTCTCCTGTGGCTTGCCACTGTTGTTTCGTCGCTGCCTTATGAACTATTAACCAAATTCCGAGCAAAAATTACGCTTATGTAGAACGTATTTGTTTGATCATATAGGAGAAGAGAAAATTCTGATAACATCTATATGAATTTATACATGTATTACTTGAAAATTGTAAAATCTCTCGGTTGATTGATTTTAAATTGTTAGATTCTCTGTTCTTTTCCTTCTTCCTATGTTGTACTAGTACTGTGCTTTGAAGTAATATTCAACTAAGTGCATTTTGGTGGTTCTTTAAACTCTTTTTTAGTCCAAATTTGTAAGTCTTTTTTTTTTTTTTTTTGTGGTATATTTGTTTGGTCATCCAAGTATGAGTACTAATAGCTTGGTACTGGATTTTCAGCATAGAAAGAGAAGAAAATAGTAGAAAAGATCAAATTTTTTGTGGGATTTGATTTATATAGCATTTGTTGTTGTCAGAATATGTATGCCAATTTTAAGGAGCACGCTATTGAGTATGTTAAGCAGGCAGTTCAGGAGGATAATGCTGGAAACTATAGCAAGGCGTTTTGCCTGTATATGAATGCACTAGAGTACTTCAAAACCCATTTAAAGTACGAGAAAAACCCGAAGATTAAGGAGGCGATCACTCAGAAATTTGTTGAGTACTTGAGGAGGGCAGAGGAGGTTAGGGCCATTCTTGATAGCGGTGCAAGCGGACCTAAATCGAATGGCGGCGCAGCAGCTGATGCGCCGCAGAAGCCAAAGTCGAAGGGTGGAGATGCAAAGGATGGGGAGGATCGGGAACAAGCGAAGCTCAGGGCTGGCCTTGATTCCGCGATAATTAGGGAGAAGCCAAATGTGAAGTGGAGTGATGTGGCTGGGCTTGAGAGTGCCAAACAAGCTTTGAAAGAGGCTGTCATATTGCCGGTTAAGTTCCCACAATTTTTCACTGGTTAGTTTTGTTGGTTTCTCTTCTTTCAGTTCTTCGATCGAATCTGGTTCGCCTTTACTATTGATACAAGTTACTGAATTGTGCTTAGGCTGTGTTTGGTAAGAGGGAAAGAAAATGGGAAGGAAAGAAAGGTATATAGCCTAGGCTAGAAAATGGAGAGGAAGAGGATAACCTTTCTCTTGTTGTGTTTGGTATGGACTCCATACTCTAAGCCGTTAATATAGGAAAAGATTGAAAATTGGGATCCTTTAAAAGATTTGAAATCCCTCATCCAATCTATTTTCTCATCTTTTCCGTTCTACCAAATAACTATAAGTCGCGAAATTCTTCAACTACTCCTCTCAACCCTATCTCTCCTACCAAACAAGCTCTTAGAGTGTGTGGATATGAAAATGATGATAGAACAACCTTCCTCCACTACCTCTCTTTTTCATTGCATCTGTACATATGGCAGAAGAGTTTGATTTAACTACTTTTCCCATGACAGTTTGCTTTGGTCACAATAGGTAATTTGATTGCTTTCTTGACAAGGATATTACTTTTAGAAACTCACCATATTTAGCATCATTTAAAGGAGAAAAACAATCTGATGTCTTTTAAATTTAGCAGATTTAATTAATCTCTTACTTGTTTAGGAAAGAGACGACCATGGAGGGCTTTTCTGTTATACGGTCCACCTGGAACAGGGAAGTCCTATTTGGCAAAGGCTGTTGCTACTGAAGCAGATTCAACTTTCTTCAGGTACCTTATCCATCAGTTTATTTATATAGCCTATGAGAAAAATATATTATTACAGTAATACTTCTCTGTAGATCAGTTTAATTTGATGCATTGACAAGCACGGCGGTGTCTCTGCAGTGTTTCTTCATCAGACCTTGTCTCAAAATGGATGGGAGAAAGTGAAAAGCTAGTTTCAAATCTTTTCCAAATGGCTCATGAGAATGCTCCGTCTATTATTTTCATTGATGAGATAGATTCCTTGTGTGGCCAACGTGGTGAAGGCAATGAGACTGAAGCATCTCGACGTATCAAAACAGAACTTCTTGTACAGATGCAGGTATTATCAATGTGTTTTTGGGAACTGAAGTCTCATAGTCTTCATTTTAGTATAACTGATATGCGTGCAAATGAGTTGTGCAATCTATTTTCAAATGATTGCTTGCTATTGATGTGCTAGTAACATTAACTATCATTTTGATTTTCTACAGGGTGTTGGGAATGACGATCAGAAAGTTCTTATTCTTGCAGCCACGAATACTCCGTATTCCCTGGATCAGGTGATATAATAACACCCTTCTAATCTTGCGTGTGGCTTGTGAAAGAGAAAAAATTGCAATGATCTTTCTGTGTGTCGTGTGAGAGGCTGGCTAATGCAAAGTGAACGCAGGCCATCCGCCGACGTTTTGATAAGCGAATATACATCCCTCTCCCAGATTTGAAGGCCAGGCAGCATATGTTTAAGGTACCACGTTAGCCTAGGAAATCAGAACAATACTCAGTCTAGGCCTTCTGTGTTCATCACGCAGTTGTGTATTTTTACAGCTTGTGAGTAAGTTAATTTTCTTTTCGTGCAGGTTCATCTTGGAGATACTCCTCATAAATTGAAAGAAAGTGATCTTGAAAATTTGGCTCGGAAAACTGAAGGATTCTCTGGTTCAGATATAGCTGTCTGTGTAAGTTTTAGCTCATTAAGGAGCCAGCCACAATTGTCTTAGTTTGACTGCTATTGACTACCCTTACCTATGAACTTTCTACTTCTATTTTAGGTTAAAGATGTGTTATTTGAACCTGTCCGTAAAACCCAGGATGCTAAATTCTTTAGGAAGAGGTCTAGTGGCATGTGGGTGCCTTGCAAACCTACTAAACGAGGAGCTGTTGAGATTACCCTACAGGAACTTGACGCGCAAGGTCTTGGTTCAAAGGTATGAACTTTAGAAACATCAAGGCTCGTTTTTGTTTTTACATCCGGATATTTTCATTTGAGAATTCTACAGTAGTGTGTGAAAGTAAACCGTACTAGAAGAGTTATGTTTTGAATTGTTAGATATGTATCAGATGTTTTTAGTTTCGCATACTTTTTTTCATTTTGATGTAATTTTGACCAGATACAACAACTAGAAACATACACAACTAATAGGCATAATTGGTGGTAACCATCCCCTCTTTTTTTTTTCTTTTTTTTTTTTTTTTTTTTGGAAATATGCTAGATGATAGCTTCTTTAGGGGGAGGATGGAACTGAATGAAACAATTATCTACTTGCATCCCAAAGGATTGGTTTTTAGGGGAAAATGCATTTTATTGGAAATGTCTCTAATGCGGTTACAGGGTGCTAAAACTAACCAAATCTATCGTCGTTGGGAACTAATGCTGCAGATTTTGCCGCCGCGTATTAAAAGATCAGATTTTGCGAAGGTATTTTCAAGGCAAAAGCCAACAGTGAGCAAAGCTGATCTTGAAGTACATGAGAGATTCACCAAGGAGTTTGGAGAGGAAGGCTGAATTGCTTTCATAAAAACCATTTAGATTTACAAGCATAGCGTGCAAAGAACATGTAATAAAACATCATATGTAATTTACAAACCCATACACAAAGTGTCGAGTAAATCCAAGCAAAGTGTAATTTACAAGCAAGATAACAAGCGCCGCCTTTTTTGTTGGCTCGTTTAGATCTTAGAAAAGACGGAGAGAGAGACTGCTAGGTTTTGTAAGTGTTGAACGATGATATTATAACTGTTACGCTCTTAACAGATAATATCATCTTAAAATAGCAGGAGATCCTGAACTTTTAAAGATTGGCATGCACTAAATATTCAATTTTAGCAAATTACCCCTAAATTTAACAAAATGTAGGCAATTAAAATTTTACATGGCTAACAAAACTGTTTTTAAGAGCTCATGTTGAAAAGTAAAGAGGCTGTGACACTCAGGAGATCAATCCCTTGATGTTAGTGTAAATATCTCTCTACCTCTCTCCCTCCTTCTCAAGACTGTCTCGTCCGGCCTCTGTCATGTCTTGGCGGGCTACTTTTCGGCTTTGCAGCATCAACAACTATCATCCAGCCATTGATGATCTGCAGGCAGCAGCAACAAAAAAGTTCATTCAGCTTCACTTCTGCTTAGAGTGATGAATTTCTGTACTTAAACCAATAGAACCAAACAATGAGGAAAAGAAGATATAGTCTACAAAACTTGCCTTGCCATTCATTTCTTTGAGCGCTGCACCAGCCGCCTCCTCCGTGGAGTACTCTATAAATGCATAACCTTTCGACCTTTTAGATATCTTGTCCATGATTATTTTAACTGATCAAGAAAGCAGTTAATCAGCATAATATCTAATAACGAAACACCGCACTTCATAACCCAAATAGGAGGAAATGAAGAAGAGGAATACCTTCAACGAGCTCACCGAAACCTTCAAACGCTGCACGCAAGGTTTTCTCGGATGTATAAAATGACAGGCCTGTTTAAAGAGAGATCGTCAAGCATTCTTAGAAGTTAATGATAAGCACGGAAAACAAGTTGCAGAATCTTATGCTCCAATTTTCCAATAAGGGCCATGCAAGGAGTGCTTTATGAAAAGGAATTTGTGTGAACTGAAAGGTTAAGTTCTAATGTCTGATAATAACCAAATACCACTAGTATATCATCATGTCTGATTGTTAATATTTGAATTATTTTTTAAAAAATCGAACAAGACCTTTAGTGGTTGTTTAGAAAATGGGTTCCAACCATAGTTTTTAGTTCTACTACAGTGTTTTCTCTCACAAAAAGTTTGAATTTAAAAAGTTCCCGCCAATGGGTGCTCTCACAAAATTTAAATTCTAGTTCATACCACCTGATCTATACCCATCTTTCAAACGGGCCCTTAGATTTTCTCTGTCCTCTTTTTTCCAATTCCATTATCCAATACTGGAAAAAAAAATAATAATACAGGGAAAATGGTCTAAACTCTAAAACAATCATGGAAATAGGTGCCACACGATAAGTTACCCATGAATCTTATAAGAGTGAAGTTCAACATACCGGTCACAAATAGTTTCTTTGTTTTTACAGGGGTTGTTTGATTTCCTTCTGAAGAGTATGACAGATCTGCAGAACTTTGTAGATTACTACCTGAAAATGGGGGTGGGGGAATGGTTTAATCTTTTACAACATAATGGAAAATAATAAGCTTAATACAATTTGAATAGCATTGAAATGAAGGGAAGTCGCTTTCAATTCTATGAGAAAAAAGTAATTTCTGTACAGATTCTCTCAAATACTGCACAAAGTTTTCCCGGTTACTCAAAATCGATTAGAGAATCCAATTAACATCATAAAAAAACACAGTAATGAGCTTTCCTACTTAGCTAAAAGAATACACAACCAAGCTAGAATGACACATTTTATCATCCCCTCTCCGAGTCATCTTGATCTATAATGAAGCCTAAAGACGAATACAACAATTTGCTAGGTACTGCTATTATCATTACAAACATCACACACTTTCTTCAACAAAAAAAGGTTACTGAAGAAGCATGGAACCAGAAACAACTAGATGTATTTGTATCAAAAACATATATGGCATTAAAAAACCACTGAACTTCTGTAAGAATAAAAGTTACTCATTTGAAACAGTAAAAACTGGTTGGGGACTGCTAGAGCGGATAGATTTCAAATGAGAAAAGTTAGCAGGAATATACCTCCGTAATCTTTATTCCACGATTCAAAATTTTTATCTGGCAGGACGGACAAAACGCCGGGCACACCTGCACTATGTGGTAGAATTTTTCCATAAGCTGTTAACACAGAAGTGACAAACAGAAACCACAAGAGAACATAGAACACTAACCAGCTAGTTCCTGTGCACACTCCTCATCAAGTTCGCAGCAAAATCCAAAGTTTGACTGCCAGGAAATATGATATATACACATTTGTGCATCCTTTACACTACAGAAATTATCATCCAACTTTGAGGGTGAGACAAGCGAATCGATCAAAATAAGAAATTGCATCAAACATTAAACCATACTTACTTCCCCAAAACCTTAGCTAGAATCTGCGCATAATAGTCAACCATCTGAGCCTTTGAAACAACCCCAATCCCTGGCTTGTCCATTCTAACAAGCCAGTGTTTAGTATTCCCCATTGGGAACAAAAGGGTAGTTCCAGTTTCTTGACTAGGCAGATCTACCGATTGAACATTTGAAGGATCATAATCCTTTTTCACAGAATGGAAATCTGGATCAGCCCTAACGGATAAGACCCCAGGTACACCTATATAACAGACACATATTGCAAAGAAAAAAATCAAATTTAACTTAGTTGCTTCTAATATTAGTGCCAAAGATGGATAATCTTCAGTTCCCATTTTTATGCAAAAGAACATGATACTCAAATGATACAAATACTTATCAGAATATTATAATTTTTCTCAAAACCTCCATTTTTCACGGATTAAACCCGTAATCCTTTAGTAATGAGAGCAATAAAATAAAAAAAGACAAGAAAGCATACACAAGATTTATAGTGTTTTTTCCTCAATGTGTCTACTTTCAGCCGTTGTACCATTGAGAAAAAGAGCACAAGAGAAATCAAACACACCTTAGACCTCCCAAAGTGTCTTTTTTCAATAAAAAATAAGTGTAAAACCACCACATACTCTTAAGAAAATTTTGAGCAATAATCGGGTCAATCCGCATACCTCTGCATCAAAACAATTATTAGGCTCCAAACAAAACTAATAGCACCAAAAATACACCGTCTTTGTAATTCTCTTCTCTTGAACACCCTAAATACAAGATAAGTACAATTTATCTCACAAAAATCCGGTTCACTTAACCAATAGCACTGACTAATGCGGAGAAAAAAAAAAACAACACACACACTCTCTCAAAAAGTACATAAAAAGAAAAAGCAATTTACTTAAAAGAGAATAGTAGATAGTAATGGAAGACCAATGAAAAGGTTCAGAGACGTACGAGCGAGCTCGAGAGAAGTTTGTTCATCAATGTCACAGCAAAATCCAAAGTGGGTCTCCAAAGAAGCATCATATATACACATTTGAGCGTCCTTGTCGCTGTACAATCCACAAAACAAATCAGAATTCAATCCAAAAACAGAAAACAAAACAAAACAACAAATGGGGGACAAAGTTAGAACATACCCACCTGCCCAAAACTCTCTGGAGGGTGTTGACATAGTAATCTACGATCTCTGCTTTCGAGTTGAGCCCTTGTGGCGGAGCCTCCATGAGGACCATCCAGCGGCGTTTGTCTGAGGTTAAGGAAGATGGAGACACAGAAGTGGAAATTGTTGTTGTTGTTAAGGATGTTTTTGGAGAGAAACTAATGGAAGAAGAAGAAGAAAGATTAAATGCGTTGTTTTTATTCTGTGGGTTGGGGAATTTTTTTAGGGTTATGGAGGGGATTTGACTCTTTTGAGGTTTGAATGATGAATGCTTGGAAATGATAACAGTCACAGAGGCAGAGTTGGAGAGCACTTCCATGGCTGCTCTGTTCTGCTGACAAATAACTAACTATCCAAAACTCACTTCTGTAATCTAAGCTTAAATATGCCTGTCTATTTTGTTTTATTTTTTTCATTTTTATATTTTTTTAAAGATATTTTTTCCCCCTTCTTGCGGCTTAAACCATATGTCTTATAATAAACATCAAACAACATCATCGGAAGTATGAAAAAACCAACGTAACATGCGTGTTTAGGATTGATTCTGTTTTTTATGTTTTTTAAAAAAATAAAAATATTTTTAAAATAATGTTTGACACAATAAAAATAAAAAATAAAAATAATTTTTTAGTTTAGTGTAAAATGAGAGAGAATAAAAAATGACTTTTAGTCATTTTTTATTTTTTATTTTCGTTTTCTCCTCTCTCAAACACAGAGAGAGACATTAATAAATTTTTTTATACTGAAAAAAATCTTTTAATAAAGTTACTAAACGTATTTTTAAAAATAATTTTTGTCTGAAATTAAAAATATTTTCATTTTTATACAAAAAATAAAATCATTTTAAAACGAGTTTCAAACGTACTTATTACATTTTCGAGAAAATACACAAAACATCACACGGCTTAGTCAAAATGCTATTTTTCCCCCTATTATGAAATGTCCAAAATATCTCGTGTTTTTTCGAAATACCTTGTTTACCCTCTGTTTTTTAGATAGGGTTAATTTTTTAAAGACCCAAATTACCCTAAATAATTTGTAAGCAATAATACCCACAACATCCTTCTATTTTAACTATACCGCCCTTGAAGCTATTAAATTTTTAAAAATACAAACATTACTCTTCTCAATTTATATTAGATTTCATTTATACATAAATTAACTAAAAGGTCAATTGAAGTTAATTTAGTCACATAATAACACCTCACGGGATTTGATTTTTAAAAAAATACAACATTAAACTTCTCATTCTATATTAAACACAGTTTATGAATTAATTAACAAAATATTAAATGAAATAAATCTTAAAACTTAAAAAACTTTCAAATGAAAAAGGAAAGAAAAAGAATCGATATAAGAAATAGGTTTCGAGAGAGCTCATCTTCTCAATTACTTTTAAGTTTTAAAATTTATGTCAATAATATCTTAGTTTCATGAATATTTTGAATAATATTTCATATAGACAGAAAAGCGTAGTATGTATATTTTTAAAAAATTTAATTGTTAAAAAGTATTTTGCGATTTATTTTACAAAAATAAAAGATGTTTTAGGCAATTGTATAAAAGAAAGGGCAAAAGTTATATTTTAATTAAACACGTGGGGTGCTTTCGGCTTTTTCCTCCTGCAAATACAGATTATTGAGGCAGTTGCTTCAGTATTTTTTTAAAAAATAAATTGACGGGTCAAATGTGGATTATTTTTGGACCATTTTCAAAATAAAAGGGATAAATTTGGTACATTAAAAAACACAGAAATGAGAGTTTATATTACCTTTAAATGTAGAATATATTTAAGACTGTTTAGTTCGTTGATTTAAGTTTTTAATTTGAGTTGAGATGTGATTTTATGTGAGAGTTTTTTATTATAATAAAAAAATTATATGTGACTTTATATAAGAGTTTTTTACTGTAATAAAAAAATTATATGTGACTATTTCTGAGAACTTTTTACTGTAACAAATTTAAATTTTAAACTCAAATTAGTGACATAAACAGTACTTATTACAGTAAAATATATATATATATATATATATATATATGCTCATTATAACCCGGCAACTTTGTTGCAAACACCACAGTCGACAGGGTATAAACTTCATAAAATGTAAAAATGAACAACTTTTAAGGAGGGAAAAAGAACCGCCAAAACTTCATTTGCACGGCTACAACAAATCACTACAGAGCTCGACGGATGATTCCGACAATATTCACCAACATCCGCCCCTAAGAAGTTCAGAATCTCTACATTCCAAACTATTTTTTTTCTTCTTCTTTAATACTCTTAACTTAGAAGAGGCGTTTCAATGTCTTCTTCCTCTAAATCCTGACTTGAGACTGCATCACTTTTAATCAGGCAAGCAAAACAGAATGATATTACCTAAGAAATATTAATTAACACGTCTTTCATTAGGTGAGAGCTCAAATTTGTAGCCAAAAATAATTATAATTAAAAAGAAAAAAAGAAATATTAATTTGAGACTTTACCATGCACATGGATGCAAGTACAATGCTAAAACCTTTGCAATTGAAAGGGGCATCTTCTGACAAGAACCATGCTGATCATATGACAAACCATAATTCACACACTTAGTTACCATTAAACCAACAAAAAATATAATAACATAAAGTAAGAATTTATTTTATAAGCCTATGCAATATGATATAAATTATTGTATGATGTGAAAAATGAAAGTTAAATTAGCTACATTCATTTCACCGATTCGAGTTTAGAAATTGAGTTTTATTACAGTAAAAAGCTCTTAGAAACAGTCACATCTAACTTTTTTCCCATAGTAAAAAACTGGCATATAAAGTCACATCTCAATTTAAATTAAAAACTCGAATCAGTTAACTAAACGGGCCCTAGAAAACTCACTAGTTAATGGACTCATTGCCAGTGGTGATAACAAGCTTGCTATTGATTGCACGCCAGCTATAAATCCTTGTGCTTTTCCCTGTAGGAGAGTAATTGGCAAGAAAAAGGATAAATTATGTGATTCTTTATGAGATGAAAGTGGGAGATTGATCTACTTGATGTCCTTTTTTTTACACATGATTTTTCATGCACTTTGAGACTGAACATTTTCATACAAATTATACCTGATTGCTTGAGCTTGAAGCTTTTGAGATGATTGCATATGTCTGCAAATCAGGAATTTAATGAGAAAAATTATTGAACAATAGATAAACAGAATAGAAATCAAGGGATGGTTTTTGTTACTTACAGAAGGTTTCACAAGAACATAGATGACTCCAAATGAGGCACTTAAGTATGGCACCTGCAATATAACAGTTACCCTCAAAATATTGCCAGCTCAAGAAATATATATATATATATATATATATGTATATGCATACTTGAGATAATTTGAGCTCTAGAATTAAGAAATTTAAACCTTTTCTTTTGATAACATTACATTGAAATTTAAGCTAAATCTTAAATCTAGGACAAAAGGGGTCAATACATGTACCTTTCTTCACAGGCTTATAAATATATTTTAATAGAATAATGTTAGGTATCTCAATTCTTATCCCAATTTTTTGAGATCAACTGACACGATATGTGATCGTCATTCTTTTATTAGTAGGTTTTTAAAAATTGTTATGCCAATTAGCACTAAAAATTTAAATCTACCAATAGAAATGTTTCATCTGCCACGTGAGTTGATATAAAAAATTAGAATTACTAACGGTACTTGTTTTGGATAATAGATCTTATGACATCACAAAACTATCAATCTGTCAATTGTAAGGGCCTATTTAGTTCATAAGTTTAAATAGAAAAGTTTGAACAGAAGTTTAAATTTTGTGAAATAAAATTCTGTACAAAAAAGTTTAAATAGTAATTCGTACTTATAAAACAAACGGGGGCTAAGTTTATGGAATGTTACTTCGGTGTATGCAGCTCATTTAGAAATCAAGTATATGAGTGTACTTACCCAAGCTGCCCAAGCCAAACCATAGAGCAAGGCCTGCAATAGAAAGCAGCATTAAACCCTTTTCCTATTAATTTTTCCTTTTGGAAAGGAAGAAGATGGTAATTAAACTGACATGGGTGACTTACATATGCTATTGAAGATAGTAAGGCTATGCACAATATTACTTTCTCTCCAACCAATGGATTCATTAGTGGAAGCACCAATATCTGAAGGCACAACACAACAGAAAACCAAAAATATTGTTTTAAAGTTGGTTATTTCCACATTAAAAAAAATAAAAAATAAAAAATAAATAAAAGGACCAGCTGGAAACGTGGTTCTGCCAAAGTAGTGCTTTATTTTTTTTCTCTTTTAAAAGCTCTTTCAAATTTGACAACAAAAGTATTAAGGTTTCTCTTTAACATCTCTGATCTCCTCTGTTTCTCCCTTAGTTGAGGATTCAGATATGAGAAAATATGACCAATAATTCTGGCTCATTGTTGAGCAGAGAGAAAATCACACAATTGTTATTATATGCATCTCTCTCTACACAAGTATATGAATTAGGTGAGAAATATCCATTTTATATTGTCAAATATAATATGAAATGTATAACAAAATAGATAAGCTTCATGAGATAATTAACATACCTGGGAAGCAATTGAACCTATTCCAACCATCATCAGAAGTTCTGAGAATTGATTTTTGTTAAAGCCGAAAGCCGCTTTTAGGTAGTACTGCATAGATATTAATAGGGCTTTTTGTTCATCAAGACAAAAAGAGGGAACTCGTTTCAAATGTTTTTAATCTCAGACAGAAATCATTTTTAAAAATGCGTTTAGTAATTTTATTAAGAGATTATTTTCAATATAAAAAAACTCATTAATTTCTCTCTTTCTCTACTTGAGAGATGAGAAAATGAAATGAAAAACGACTAAAAGCCGTTTTTCATTTCTCTCCTATTTCACACTAAATTAAAAAATCGTTTTCATTTCCGTTTTTTATCTTTAATTGTGCCAAACACCATTTTGAAATCGTTTTTATTTTTTTCTCAAAAAACGTGAAAAACAAAAAGAATAATAATTCCAAACATGGCATATGTTTCTTAAAAACATAAATGAAAATGGGGATATGAATTCCTAGATCACCAGTAGAACACTGCTGATGCCCGACATTCCCAATTCGTAAAAGAAAGAAACCAGAGAAATGCTCCTGAGAGTTTGACTGCAATGTATAACATTTTTGTTACCAAAGATGATGATAATAAAAAAGTGAGAGATCAAAAAAGAAAAAGTACAAAAAAGGGTTTAGATTAAGAAACAATTTATGATTAGGATAGGATTACCTGCTAATAACTAATGTCGCAGCATCTTTCATTGCTCGGAATCGTTTCTGGACAACCTTAAGTGTCCAACGCAGGCAATCTGAGTCTCTGTTAGTCCTAGGAGCTGGTTTAACTGTCTCTTTCAAAAACAGTTGCATATAAACTGGACCAAAGATCAGGAGTGCTATTGAAACCTGAAAGTGAAAAAAAAAAAAAAAAAAAAAAAAAACCAACTTTCATTAGTAGGTCCAAGAAGAAAGGAAAGTAATGTGACAAACATAACTTTTCTAGCTGCTTACCAAGAAAATGTATTTCTCAGGGAGGAAACGTGCGAGAACGTTTCCCAAAACGTGCGACGCAGAAAACAGACCCGTGATCCAGCTAAACACTGCAGCTCTCTTACTGTCGCTAACAACATCCGCCTGGAGGCAGAAAACACCAAAGGTGTTGTGGGAAAGTTGATTAAAATCAGACAATGCCATTGTCAAAAGTTGTAATTAGTGTCCCTTATTTACAGGGATTTGTTTTTTTTTTTTTTTCTTTTTTGTCTTCATACTGCTGTATATATTCATACCTAGAACTGTAATTTGATATGATGAATTCAATCAATATTTTTCCACAGGTGTTAATTCAAATGTTATGAGTCCATCTTTGTGGATCAATGAGACAGTTACTTACTGTATAAGCAACAGCAATGCAGAAAATACTCCCTTGACTAATGATGTACGAAATCGTTCGAAGCACATAGTAAGCGTACACGAATTCCTTGGACTGATTCCAAGCAAGTAATGCTGCAACATGGGGCAAAAAAACAAAAAAACAAAAAAATGAAAAGACAAGATCACCAAATGTCAAACTGCATTTTTATTGTATCATTCAAAACAAAATGAGACAGAATCCTAATTAATGTTTATTGGCAACATCACATTGTAAGTTCATAGAAATGTTTAGTTTCTGCAGGACCTCGTTTGGTTTATCCTTCAAGAAAAAAAGGAAACATCAATGCACACAGAGTGACTCTATTCAGCTCTGCTGTCTCCGCAAAGAGGTACGGGTTGGTCCTTCTGTGGGGGCCACCGTACCTCTTTTGGAGCCTCACACTTTTTTTGGCTCACATTTGAGTAACTCCTTTTTTGCTTGAATATTATTTGTTTAAGAAGTCCCAAAAATATTTGTTCAAAACATACCAAAGGGTATAATGGTTGTGGATACAGTAACAAGAAGCAACGGTTTACGTCCATGTTCATCAGCAAGCTGACCAAGAAGTGGAAGCACCACCATCTTGAAAACTCCAACAATCTACAAACAAAACAAATGTGCTCAAAAAATGAGTAATGCTTGAAAAACTGTTGTATAAATGTTGTATAAAATAGAATCTCATTTTATCATCTCATCATCTCAATTCCACTTGCAATTATGTACATTTATTAACCTGGGCATGTGCTTATGAACATTTTCCATTGCTTTTCTATTTCTAGAATAACATTATAAGGTATCGGTAGTACTAAACATCACCCACTAAAAAAATATAAATACTGTAATATTAGGATTTATGAAGGGCGCACACTATGTAAAAAGTAGAGCTGACATAGTTCTATATCATTTGATATTTCTTTTATCATGCCAATTTCCTACTTATTCATTTACCTTTTTTTTTTTTTTTTTTTGCTAAAATGAGAATTCATTCAAAGCCGGAAAGGCAACACAAGAAAGGAATACAAGAACAGAAGAAACCCGGAGAACAAAACAAAGACAAGGCAGCAAATAACTCATCATCTACTTAATCATTACAGTCATGTAGTCCTTGGAATAAATAGAAAATTCTATGACATATCCAATATTGGTTAAAAATGGCAGTAGGGTCCACGATATCAATTCAATCACTGATAGTTGAATTTCTAATTGTTTAAAACACTATCACCACTAGTAATATCTAACATTTTTAAAAACAATATTCAATTTCGTCGGATACAATCAGCTTCATATTTTGGAGTTAGAGAAAAAATAACAATTTAGGAAAAAAAAAACAGAGAAAGTAAATTAGGAAAAGACAAATTTTTATGTCTCATTCCAAAACCAAAATTTTTATGTCATCTGTCTTATTTCAACACTCCTTTTCACCAAACCAGACGGGCATTGGTTCCAAAAAAATAAAATTGCCAACGTTGGCCCCTCACTAATAAATTCAAAAGCAGCTATTTTGATACTGACAGTTTTTTAGCTAAAATAAAAATCTAAAGTAAACAGTTCTTTTCCAAGTTGATTAAAATACACAAAGGAGAGAGAGAGAGAGAGAGAGAGAGAGAGAGAGAGAGATTTCAACAACTGGATAAGGACTAATAATTAAGAGTAAACACCAATAATTGTTTCCCATATATAATCCATATCTTATCGGTACAAGCAACATATTTACCGTCAGCCTTGTAAGAAAATTCAAGAAAGCAAAAGAAACCCAACAATAATCCTCAGAAGTCATAAGAAAGGTGATGAAGTTATCCAAAATGGGACAATTTTTTTTTTCACTTTCCTTCCTATATTTTCCCACCAACCAAACAGAAAAAATAAAGAAACAAGCAGATAGATAGAAAAGTAATCTACAAAATCTTCTCAAACGCACCGTTTGTTGAATCCCATTGATGTAAATGGCCTCAGAGCAAGTGGACTGGCCAGGACAAAGAGCACCGGTGGTGACATCAACGAGAACTGAAACAGTCATTTCTTCAGCGATCCAGTGAATAGACAGAGGCAATAACAAGTGAAAAAGAGGCCTCAGCTCTCTGAAATCGCTCTTCCAATCACCCATATTCTTGCTGCTGTGATCTACGACACTCCAAACCCAATATATGTATTTCTACTCTGTCGTTTTAGAAACAAATTTCTGGAGATAAAGACCAAGATCTTCTCCTCTAAAAGCACATATATATACAAGTTGAAGGAACAATATGTGTGTGTATTAAATACACATATATTACATCATACGTACATACATGGTATGAATATGTGTGCGTGTGTTTACAGTATATCTATATATATATATATATATATATAAGAAATATAAAGCGGGACTTTGCATTCCTGTGGAAATAGAGAGGTGGGCATGGGATTTCCACGTGGTGGGTGTTGGTGGTCGTGTGGGGTGGAATTGAAAGCTTGTGGAATTTGGATATAAGAGACTTAAAATTGATGTGCTGTGAATGGCTTGCTTTTTGTTTACTTTGGCTTTGCCGTGCTGTCAGTACGCAGTTACAGTGTTATATATATTGGAGTCGGAACAGGTCAAAGTTGCCCTATATAGAATAAAAATGTTCAGGATTATTGGTGCAATGCAACTAATAAAAAGTGAATTCTAGCGGTGAATTTTATATTTTGAGATTTACTTTTTATTAGTGTATATTATTGGACTTAATATTGATACAGTGACAGAGTCAGTTTTTTACTTTAATAGGGGCTACACGCTCATCTTCAAATGGTTCCGCCACTGATCATATAAATAAAAATTCTCATGTAAAATATAAATCATGGTTATATATTTGCATAGATAGGGCAATGTTATCTACTATTGTATTACTAAATCATTAATCATGTGCTGCGTTGATTAATAATTATTAATGCTACGTAACAACATTCTTACTCAAAATCTACTCTTCTCAAGTTGATATTTGTTTATAGACCCTAAATATTGTAAAAACGGTTGGAAACAAAAATGATTCAGTTTTTGAAACTTTGACACGTCTACATGATGTTAAAACCCCTAGAAACAAATACTAGTGCTCCTTATTTTATAATTATATAAGGAGTAAAGACCTCACACTTTGATCAGCAAAAACAAAACAAAAAATAAAGAACTCACACTTTGTTATCAAAGTAAGATTTGACTAATTAAATAAGTCTGTCATCTTGAGTCATGTTTTAGCTTAAAATACATATAATTTTGTTATTTTCTTCAAAGTCTCTCCATTTTAATCCTACTGTCACGTAAAGTCATGAGGTTATAAATGTTAAACAACATGTCATTTTTAGTGCTTCTCTTTATTGAGCATTCTCCTTCACCTGTCTTGATCGGAGATGATCATCTTAGGAACTTCATGTATTCGAACCACCTCCTTCACCTCTAGTTGGGCTAGTTTCTCCAGAATTAACCTTGTCTTAATTGCAAGGAAGTGAGCGGATTTCGTCAATCAATCTACTATAACTCATATTTCGTCACATCTGTTTGCCGTCTTAGGTAATTCGACGATAAAGTCCATCGAAATATCCTCCCACTTTTATTGAGAATTGGAAGAGATGACTATTCCCCTCCGGGTCTCTGGTTCTCGGCTTTTAGACAAGTAAACAAATCATTATGTATCTTACTACATCTCTCTTCATCTCATATACTAAAGACTCCTTTTTAGGTCATTATACATTTTAGTGGCTCCTGGATGCACCACATATGACGTACTACATGCCTCATCTAACACTTGTTCTCTTAGATCTTGTTCTTTTCACAACTCAATACAACTCAAGTTCTTTTGTTATAGTATTTCTCTCATAAAATTTAAATTTAACTTTTTTACTATAGTTTTTGTCTCACATAAAAAAATTTTGAGCTACGTCTTAAATTACGAAAAGAACACACCTTTAACTTATCCACATGCAACATATGAAAATCAAGGGAGTCCAAGACCATGGCTCTAGAAAATTTGAGATGTAGCTCTAGAAGCGGCAATCCAGAGCTATGGCGCCAAAAAATTTGAGCCGCGGCACTAGAAATGACACTTCCAGAGCCGCAGTGTTGGAATTCTAAGGCTATGGCATTGACGCGATTTCAATTATTACGAAAATTCTTCAAAAAAAACGCAACTTTTACCCTAGTTTTGAAACACAAGAGAGGCAAATATAAAAAGGACAACTAGAGAGCCTTTTGTACACTTTTGAAGAGGAGATTGACGGAGAATCAAAGAACGATCATCCCGTTCAAGATTCTTCGTTTTTCTTCTTCTCTTATTCTCTATATGCTACTTTGCAATTGGTGTTGAATATTATTTCCATGATGTTTAATATTTCAATTATAAACTAGGTTTTTCTTTTCTTTCTTTTTTTTTTTCTAGGGCTACAATGTAACCAAGACAATAATTATTTGAATCCAATTTATTATCTTTTAATGAAGTAGTTCACTAAGAGCATTTTATTCATGATTGTTGTTTCTTTTACTGTGCATAATGCATTTAAATACCTGATCAATATTCTAATTGTTTGGAAGACCTAAATTGAAACCTAAGAATATGATATTTAGGAATAGCTTAATAAAAGTAACCGCAAGGTGCATGCGACATCTAGCGATAGTAACATGATTTGTGTAAACAATTAAAAAAAAATCATAGAGCGTAATGAATTTTCTAGGAGGATGAAATTCACATCAAGTGATGAGTAAAAGACTGTGTTAGTTAATAATTAGAATCAAATAAGAATTGTCTTGGTGAACTTATTTGTTCTAATGTTCTCTTGTTATTGAATTCTCGTATAATTTATATTTTCCATTTATTTTACTTTAATTTTCATAAACTTTATTTTTACTGCAGTTATTCTCCTTTAAGCATTATTGTCTAAATAAAATCAAGAATATTATAATTTCAGTAATTGTTAAATTAATATCCGAGGGAACAATACTTTACCCTCTATTTTCACAGTTCAAATAAAAAAGGTTAAAATCATCACAATTCTAACCTGCAAAACCAAACACGGCCTTAGGAGTTTCGGTTCCACAGCCTTCTGTGCTGTCATGAATTGTTGTTATGGTTTGTTAATGTTCTTACGACTTATATCTAACATGTCTCTAGTAAACACACGAGATCCAAAGAAAACAATCACAAATATATCTAATACATAATCCAACTAGAAAAGACAAGGAAAAGTGTGATGCCTTGGCACACTTAACATAATTCCGAATATTCGTACACAAAAGCAGAAAAGAAATGGAAAAGATTCAAAGCGGTAGGTGACAAGTTGTCCTAGCAAAAAAAAAAAAACCTAAAAATTTTGGTTGATGTATCACAAGAAGTCTTTGTTGCAACCGGGTCACTTTCCTGTATTCATATATTCCACATGCGCAGACGTGAAACATGCACATTGAACCCACCAAGCAAAAAATAAATAAATAAATATTACGCACAATGCATTTTGTTTATGCTTTGGTCTCTGCACATGTCTAACAAACTTGAATTTTTTAAATTTTTTTAAGGAAAGAATTTCTTAAATTCTAAAGTAAAAATAATTATTGAAGTATCCCAAAAAAAAAAAAAAAAAAGCAATGTAGCTTCACTTTTTATAAGAAAAAACAAAATGATTAACACAACTTACTTTGATGTCGCAAAACCCGTTGTCCTTTCAATGAATAGTCCGAAGATTTTTTTTTTATAGAATACTAAAAGAAAAGGTTAGAATGGTAATTATTGAAGCTAGACATTGTTTAATTGTTGTTGCGGAGCCAAGTCACAATGAATGGGGACTTTTTTTTTTTTTTTTTTGGAAAAGTATTGACTATTGAATGGGGACATTTGCTCCATTCAGTTTCAAAAATTTGTTATTTTTTTCCCAAATTTTCTTAAAATTTCAATTGTGTTTTTTACATAAAAAAATTATAAATATGCACCGCTCACACAAATATATATTTTTAATAAAAAAATCTTTTAATATCTTTTATCATGCTTCCACTAGAAAAAAAAAAAATCTGTTCGGTGCATTATTACTATCTCATTTTCTGTTTAAAAAATATATTTTATATTAGTGAAAAGATCAAAATAGTGCTTTAAAATGTTCAACACTAGGTGTTTCTGTTTTCTTGTATGTTTAAGCATTTCTCCCCCTTCTACTATGTACGCCTTAATTGCGAAATTGGCTTACGGATTGACTAATTTTTCAGCTTTGTCGAAGCTTCTGGCTCATAATTTCACGTGATAATCAGGGCAATATAAAAGAGAAAATATATCAGGGAGATTCTCTAATACGCATAGCATATCGATAGATTAGGAAGTTGTTCTTTTGTATTTTTAAATTAGAATAACTTCAGTAATGTTTTTGAGTTGAGTTTGAATTATAACTTGAATTGAAGTTGTAACTTGAGTTTGTGTTTGGATGTGCACATTTGAGTTATGATTTGAATTGAGAATCTTTTTGAGTTTGTGTTTGGGTATGTCAAAACTTTAGATCCCGTTTATTTTGCTGATTCGAGTTTAAAATTCGAGTTTTGCTACAGTAAAAAGCTCTCACAAACAATTACATCTAACTTTTTTACTACAGTAAAAAGCTCTCACTAAAGTCACATCTCAACTCGAATTAAAAACGCGAATCAACGAACTAAACGGCTTGTATTTAGATAGTATTTTAATAAAAACTCAATGGTGATGAAAAATTTTAATAGGGTATGTGGGTGGAATTTTATTCGTTTTTTCGTTGTGAATGCATGAAAAAAAAAATCATCTCAATCAAAATTAAAACGAAAAAGTTATGACATTTTTAACAATATATTGTTCATTAACTTGAATTCGAGTTTATGAACTCAAGTTGAAAATGAAACTTGAACTTAAATTTAACCCCAAACTCGAGTTCAAACTTAAATTTTACAAAAGAACACGAACTTAAATACAGTTGTAACTCAAGTTTAAACTTTTTCTGAGTTTCCTTGTAAAAGAATAGCCCTTAAGTATTTTTAACCGCTGAAGCTGCGTACTTTTTTACTTTTACGTGATCTTATACAGATCTGACAGATAAAAAACCTGACATGTCTACTGAAAAAGGTCCCAATTCATTATAGCATAATGGTAATATGGCTTATTGATTTGACAGCATAAGGGACAATTTTTAACAACTCAATCACGAAAAAAAAAAAGAATATACAAGCAAGAAATTCAACTCAGTCAGTTAACTCTGTTATTTAATATCAAAAAATTGTCATTAAAAATGACAAACGTTTTCAAAGAATAAAATTAGGAGTCCAAAATTTGGCTCCTGTATGCCAGACAAATAGGAAAACAATGAGATATAAGCCAGTCAAAATTCCTGAGTTATACAATACGCATGAAACTCTTGATTTTACTACTGCGCATCTATTTGGTAATAGTTTACATTGATAACTCAGCAAAAACTAAGCAAAAGTCAAACTTTATTTTTCTACTGTACAGGAAAGTGAATCCCAACTTCCTTCTGAGCTAATATTGCCTAATAAGCACTTTGCAAGTGAACTTAATACTTACTCCATCTGGCCAGTTAGTGCTGCATCCTCATCTTCAGCATCCAATTCTTCCTCCACACTTTTGACCTGTAAATGCAATTGATTTAAGCCGATCAGTATAATCGGAGACGGAAAGGCAGCCAAAGGCTAAAACCCATTTTCTTTAACAACAAATGACCGGCTTATGGCTAAAAGATGATTTGTAGTAGAAGACATGGCTAAAAAGAGAGTTGTTAGATTTCCTTTTTCCCGGGGCTAGCTAAAATGATTAGCAGACAGACAGAAGCCACCACGTGGTCTGGACACAATAATCTACTAAGTGAGAAGAGTAGCATGTCACTACCACACATTTCAACACACAAGAATAAATAAATAAGTAAATCTTCAAAATTGGTTACGACTTCGATAATGTATTTTGATTCCAATGGACTTTATCAGTAGGTTTTTCTTACCAAGAAGGGACCAAAAATAAAAATAAAAAGAGGACGAGATGCATGCAGACAAAACAAGAAGTATGAGATGTAACACCATAAATTTTCATTATCAAATATAACCTATTGCAAAGAAGGTTTATTTCATGTCAGGGTCGTAAGTCAAAGCAATATCAGCCATTTTGTTACCTCAGGTACATAATGCATCAGCATATTTTCAATGCCGGATTTCAGGGTGACTGAGGAGCTTGGGCAGCCACTACATGCCCCTTGCATTCTCAATTTAACTACTCCAGTTTCTCTAAAGACAGCAGAACAAATGAAAATTCCAAGTTAGGGAGAGAAATAAATGATACTGGAAAAAGGCCAGGGAAAAGGTAAAATGTTATTCTCATTCACATGGAAAACATGGAAAACAAAAACAAATGAAGAAAAACATACGGATCAAATCCCCGGTACTCAATATCTCCACCGTCATCTTGCACTGCTGGTCGAATTCGAGTTTCCAACAATTCTTTGATCATTGCTACAATTTCTGAATCATCCTGCAATAACAAGAATAATATCCATGAAATTAATCAATACAATGTCTCAATCATTCCAGGCTCCAGCAGGGAAAAAACAAGACAGTAATTTTCAAACACACACACAAAACAGTCAAGAGGAGACTAGACAACTCTTTTCTTTATATTTCCGAACTTAGCAATTCAGGAGTTGTTATACATCAATCTATAATACATCAAATAAAAAAAATGGAGTAGCCTTGATCACACAGAATGAATCTCTCAGGTCATATAAATTTATATTTTCTTCATGCATCAATTTAAGTAAATCTATAATGCACACTTTGTTATGAGTAGTGCTAGGAACACCAACACTAATCCTAACTTTGTTGTACCAACTAACAGCATGCGAGTTGTCATTCTTTATTATTCTTTATTGGTAGGTGTTTAAAAAAAATTGCCACGTCATTTAATAATAAGAGATTATATTTACCAAATTAAAGAAAAATCACTACACATAAGTTGGTACAAAAAAAAAAGGGATTAGAGTTCGGGCCAGCAATACTCTTTTGTTATTGTTGGTACACAGGAACCCTAATTTCAGAATGAACCTGTGACAACACAGTTGGAACGTAATAGCTATTACAAACTGAACAGCTCTGTCCCCTGATTAAACCTGAGCAATAGTGTCCGTTATCAAGAAAAAGATCACAGGGAACCCTAAATTATTCCTTTTCCCAGTCGCAGCCTACTGTATTCCAGTGTAGGCAACTTAATAATCTATCATACATAGTTCTACACACAACTAAGTAAATTAAATAACCTTTGAAAAATGGTGAAAACCTTCCTATATTCCACTCTATTATTTGCAATTTTCAAGCCTTCTGTGTGGGAGCAGATAAATCCTGGTCATCTGAGTCGCATCATACTACACCGCTAGAGGTTTCTATTTAAATTAATTACAAATACCCGTACACGCAAACAAGTTCAGTTATAATGCTTCCAATCTCATAAAACTGTAGTATAAAAGAACTATAACCTTTGGAAAAATGGGCAAGAAAGAGTGAAAAAAAGAGTGTAACACCAATGAAGCCACTACAACAAGAAGTTAGTGTCCAAAAATTTGCGGAAATTGAATTAACTTCCAGGCCATACCTCATGAATAGCTGTGTCCTTTGCTGCAGCTGTTTCTGAGTCTAGGAAGAGTGGCTGCCCAGAAGAATAAAAATCCATTATTGCAGCAAAGATTTCAGGCTTCAAAAAATCCCAGGAAGCCTCTTCTGACTTTGTTACGGTAACAAAATCTGATCCGAAGAACACGCGGGTAATACCTGGACTAGGAAATAACTACATTAGACGTTCACTACATCAGAAAGATATAAGGGGAAGAAAAAGATAAGAAAACAAATTTTCTTTAAGAAAAGGATTATATTGTAATAAAATCACTGTATGCTGAGTTAAAAAAATAAACAACAACAACCAAACAAACAAACAAGCTCATTCAGTTGAAACAAATAAGATCCGGTGACAATCCCATAAATTCTAAACACAAACATCAGCTGATACATGGAGAAAATCTCTTAAAAAAAAAAAAAATATATATATACTCAATAATGTGATCATCTCACTATTTAGTGAATTTTAAAGTTCTAATAGCATCACGAGGAAAGAAATATCAAGGGGGCAAAGAACAAGAAAAAAAGAATAATAATGAATAGCCAAGTAACAAAATAGCAGGGATGAATGTTGAAAATGCACTACTTTATCACTACTGAAACATAGATTAAAGTAATTAAGTTGAGAAATACAAATAACTGTAGCCTGGTAGAGATGAGAAACATAAAGACTCAACTAGTGAGCATGACAACCTATGCGACGATGCAAATTAAGAAATGACTCAGCATAAATTATGGATTGCTATCTTCAACCTTAAGCATTCAAAACAAAACAATAAGGGTAAAACTCATTTGTAGTCCCTAAATTGTAGGTTGAATCCCATTTTGATCCCTGACTTTTGAAACATCCCATAACAAGTCTCCAACTGATCAAATTTAGTCTTTTCTGCCCAAGGCACGACTTTTTCGTTAATGAACAAAATTACCTCTCACAAAACCGCACACGGTTCTCACATGCCTTTTCTTTCTTTGACAAGATTTTTACAGTCGGATCTAATTTGGAACAATTTGATAAATTGGGGACTTAGTTCGGGGACATTTTAAACGTCATGAATCAAAATGGGATTTGGCCTATAATTCGGGGACTAAAAATGATATTAATACAAGCAATAAATGAATCTATTTCGGCGTCAATAGCAGGCTGGGAAAAGCTTTTCACCAAACAGCAAGAAACACAAAATAATCAAAATAAATTGGGAATCCCTTAAGAAACATAGAATGAGATAGTACGAGAAAGTGCATAGTAGTGAAAGCAATCGTACCATCAATCCCATAAAGGGCTTTAGCGAGTGGTGAGCTCATGGCCGACCGCGCATTCGGAAAGTCGGCACTGCCAACTTCCATTACAGGCTTCCCAGGATAGAACATCAGAGATGATGGGTTCGGTGTTGATTGTGTTTCGATAAACATACTTCTCCTTTGTCCTGTGTCATTCAAACCCAAAACCATTAATTAATTGCAATTGAAAAACCTACCAAAACCCTAATTTATTTCCACGCAAATTTTCAATTTCAGTGATATGCATTATTCCCCAAATTATTAGAATGAATTAAGCTAACAGACAACAAACAACGCAAATGAAAATAAAATAAAATAAATAAAATCCCCCTTTTTCCCAAATAATTTCAAAACAGAAGCAACAAACCAGCAAATTTAAACAGAAAAGAAAAAGTTGAACAAAAATAAAGTAATTCCGAAGAAAGAGCAACTAACCGGCGAGAAAACCCCATTTCTGAAATGGCGAGGGAGAAACAGGGGAAGATTTGAAGGAAGCGAAAGGAGTGCGATCGAATTGGTGATGGAATGAAGTTGGAGAAGACGAAGAAGCGTGTATGAAGCCTCGGCGAGAAATGAAAAACCGGATATTGTTATTATTCCGGTTCGGCTGAGTTTCAATGATTCGCGTTTGCTGTGAAAAGCCTCGCCAAACCAATCTTCCAAACCCCTTCATCGCCGTCTGTTTTCTTCTCTCTCCTGCAACTCTCTCTCTCCCTCTCTCTCTCTAAGCTTCTCTCTCTGTTTTACTCTGTTTTTTTCTGTTAACTTGTGAGGAAATTAGAAAAGTTGCACTAGCCCCTAATTTTTGTCGATGTTAGAGGGAAATTCTTTTGCGGAACGTACATTGTGTTTGATGGGTGAAAATAAAAAAAGAGAAAAGAAAACCGAGTAAGGATTACAGAAGAGAAAAATAAAATTTTAAATTATTTAGCATGAAGCAAACGAGAAAAAAAATAAAAATGAAAATTTATGGGGTCTATCACTTTTTAAGGTACGTTTAAGATAATTTATGTTTGTGCTTTTAAATAATATAGGAAAATAAATTTAAGTTGAGGTTTTTTAATTAGTATTTGGATGAAAAAATATTTTTACATTTAAAAAGAATTTTTGACTTTGTTTAGATAAAAAAAAAATCAAAAACACTTATTATTATAAAAATAATGTAATAAAAGGATATAGATAAGATATTTAGTTCATAAATAAAATGTTAAAAATGTAAATAAAAAAGTTTTTTATAAGTTTTTTTTTCATAAGTATTAAGGAAATAGTTTGTTCTAAAAGTGTTTAAATAGCCAAAAACACTTTAAAATTGTTCATCTAAATAGGTTCAAAAGTGACTTTTAGATTAAATAAACCTAAAGTAGTTTTTTTAAGCCAATCCAAACAGGCCCTTAATCCTTCTAACTTTGGGAAAAAAAAAAAAAGAAAGGAAAAAGTTTGACGACAAATGAGGTGTAATATAACAATTTATCCTGCATCATTATAATATTTTTATTTATATTGTGATATTATTATAAAATGCTCTAAATTTGATATTTTTTATTTTTTTTTCTCTTCTATTAAACAACGTGAGAGAAAATCTTAATTCTACCATTTTATTTCCTTCACATAAATATTTTACTTCTCTTTGCTGAAATGTTAATGTAAACTAATCATCAATATTTAATCAAGGAATACATACTGTGGATTAATAGATTGATTGATAGTTTATGGCATAGTTTGGTAGAGATTTTGGGAGGCTAAAATCAATTTTCTACTCAGTTAAAACAATTTATTGTGTTTGATAAACACCTTAAAAAGTGCTTCTTAGAGAATTTAGGAGGAATTTTGGGGGAAAATCAAAAGTAGCCTTTGGGCTGCTTCTGATTGTAGATTGTGCGGCAATCTACAATAGGCTCATTAATGAAATTTTTATTATTCCCAAAATAACCTTGCTGAATCAAAAAATTTCCCTCAAACCAAATTTTTTTCTGCCCGATCCGGGCCCGTTCGGTTCGCTAATTCGAGTTGAGATGTGATGTTATGTGAGAGCTTTTTACTGTAGCAAAAAAGTTAAATGTGACTGTTTCTTAGAGCTTTTTACTGTAGCAAAACTCAAATTCTAAACTCGAATCAGCAAAAAGAACGGGGCCTTCCTCTCTCAAACTGTTTGTGCTCTCTCTCAGCCAAAGAGCTCTCTTTGTTTCTCTTTCTTCTCTCGCTCTGATTCACCCTTTTTGTTGTTATCTCCTTCCAATTAGCATATTACTTGTCAAAGGGGGACTCAGCAAAAAAGAGGTCCGCTTGTGTAATTATGTGCGTGTATTTCACCTACTTTTTTATTTAAATTTATTAATGGATTTTGAACATGTATTATGAAGTATACATTTATTAATTCTTTCGCAATTCACAATCGGATTAGCTTGTTTGCACTTGTGATTAGAAAGCATAGTCTCTATCTCAACCAGCCTTGCTCTAGGAACAAAATGCATAAATTTGGTGCTTTCAAATGGTTTCACCAATACATAAATTTGAGTTTCTTTGCTAAAAGGAGGTTATTTGAGTTTCTTTACTTTCAAACGGTTTCACCAGTACATAAATGTACCCATTCATATGTTTTTATTTCAATAGGTAAATATTATTTAGTTGACGCGGGATATTCACAATTGAAAAGATTTCTTTAACCATATGAAGGAGAAAGATACCATTTACCACAATTTCGAATGGGTCGTAGACCATATAATGCCCTTCCATGCATGTGCCGAGAACATGACAACTGCTAAGGCCATGTGGATTTATCACCATTTTGTAGAGTTCAAAAGTCTCAAAGTCAGTGTTAGGTGACAAGTAATCTAGTCAGTAATATCTGCAGTTTGCCTTATTTGCTCTTTTACGTCGTTGACATGGCCTCAGGTCTCATACTCCTTGAGGTGGATCTTGATGGTATCGTTTATGAAGACAATTAACTTGAGGACAATGTAGAAGAAAATTGAAATACTAGTTTTTCACTATCACAAGAAATGGATCAAGTTGTTGCAAGTTTAATGAGCACTACATAATTCTTTTAATGCCTCTACCGGTTTTGAACATGAAATGTACATTTTTGTTATATATGTTGATTACTCACTAATGCTCATTTTTGTTGTAACTATATTGTGAATGAAGAAATGAAAAAAAAAAGAATTAATTATCATAAATTTATTGTTAGAAAACTCAGAATCATAGCATTATGTTTTTTTTAAGCTAAACAAGTATTTCTAAATACCAAAAAAATTATATATATTTAAGTTTCATATCATGTCTATTTTTGTCATTTTGCATACCCACAGCAATTCAACCTCAAAATTTACCAAACGCTATTACACTGATTTTGAAACCAGCACAACTACTATAATTATAATTTACCAAACACTCAGCTGCTTCTTGTAACAGCTGCTTCTTCCTTCAGCACAGCTAAAAGTAATTTTTTTAAAATTTACAGCACTACCAAACTAAGCCTATGTCATGTGAATTTTTGTTAACACCACCAGCAAGCCTAATGCCCTCGAACTGCGAGCCTAACGCCCTCAAGTTCAACTGGGAGCCTTCTCCACCTTGTGCTGAAGTAGTGTGTTTGGTAGAATGGAAAAGAGAGAAAATAAAATATAAAAAAAAAGGATTTTGGAGAATGGAAGTTTAGGTTGTTTGGTAGAGAGAAAATGAGGAAATGAAGAAAATGAAAATTTATGGAGCCCACCAGTTTGTAATCCTTAACTTTGAGAAGAAAAGAGGAGGAAAAAAATTTGACAAACAAAAGAGGTGTAAAATAACAATTTTAACATTCATCATTCATCATATTTTTATTTATATTAGGGTATTATTGTAAAATGCCATAGATTTGACATTTTTTTTTCACTTTTCTTTCTCTTCTACCAAACAACATAAGAAAAAAACTATTTTACTTCTTTCACCTATATATTTTACTACTCATTCCTTCTTTTTTTCTATCCATCATACCAAACAGGTCACCGCCATTTCCACCCCCATGCTACAGCTACACCAAGGGTTTTTCTCATATTTCTTTAGGGTTTACAAAAAGTGAAGGTAGAAATACTTGAAATGGTGATTTTGATGTTGCAAATTTTATGGACATTTATGTCCCGTTTAGTTTGCTGATTCGAATTTTTAATTCGAGTTGATATATGATTTTATGTGAGAATTTTTTACGATAACAAAAAAATTAGATGTGATTGTTTTTAAGAACTTTTTATTATAGCAAAACTCAAATCGTTGAAATAAACGAAACCCGTAAAAGGTTGCAAAAATTTTGATAAAATCATGCTGAAAAATATTGAGAAAAAGGTTGCTTAATGTTGTTTAGGTTGATTCTCGAGACTGGAAGTCCCTTTTTTTAAAAAACAAAATAAAGGTCTTTTAGGACCCATTTAGAGCGTATATTTAAGTCAGTGATTCAGATTTAAAGGCAAAAACTTTGTGAGAAGAAATTTTTTAATTCAAATTCTTTATAAAACAAATACACTATAACAAAACCCAAATTATAATTTAAATATACTTACCAAATAAGCTCTTAGATTACTTCAGAAACTATAAGGGAACATGGTCAGATTCTGTTACCTTACCTAATATGAGCTTAATTGCATCATCCGAGAGAGACTAAAATCAAAATGATAAGAAAGGTATCAGTCTGATATTTCTCTTCTCTTCTGTAGGGTAAAAATATCAACAGCAATGTCATTTATAATCACTGACGAATGCGTGATTATCATCATTTTTTTCAAACAAATTACAAATTTTACCCGTTAATTCAAGGGCTCCCAAATAACCAGACAAGATCTTACAAAATTATGAAAAGTATGACCGTTTGACGAACCTTGAAAAGAATCTAACGATTTAGAACGATATTTTATTGATATTATACTATACCATATAATTCTCTAAAAAGTAAAACTAGATGAAAAGATTAGAAGTACAAAAATTTCAGTGGAGTTCCAAAATTTGGCAGGCTGCATGCTAGACAAATAGGTGAATAATAAGATATAAGCCAGCCAAAAGTCCTGTGAATGATACAATGTTCATAAAGCTCTTTAGTTTTCCCTAGTAAATCCACAAAAATCTGCCGTAGAAAAACAGCCTTAGTTCTCATGGACAAGAAAGTCTATCCCAACTTCTTTTGATAACCGGTTGAAGCTTCAGTCCAGCAACAAATTTACGCCCACCTTTCATTGGGCAGATATTATTAACCTACTTTGGCCTGATCAGTATGTGTTGGATCCTCATCTTCAAGACAAATTTTTCTCCGCACCTGTAAATGCATAAATATAAGCTGGTAAGATAAGCATAAACAGAAAGCCAACAAAAGGTTCAATCTCGCCTTCCCATTTTCCTGAATGACATCAAAACCAGCCAATTGCCATACGATAAGTAAAATGGTGAATGTACGTTAACGCGTTTTAACACGTCTCTTTGTCCATATAGACAGAAGCTGCCAGTTAAAGAGTATGCTTTTCTCGCAAAATAAGACATAAGATGCATCTAAGGAGATGAATCTCATAAATGCATCACCAATATAAACTCCACAATGAACCAACTTCATCTTTCATGTTAAGCCCTCGTGAAAAAGAAAAAAGGGTTGTCACAAATGTCGAATTAGCGATCAATTGCCATGGTCAAAGGGACTGGCCATTTTTCAGGCGTCCCCATACGTGAACCCACATAAATGAAATCAACTAATAGCAAAAACATCTCCATAATAAGTGATGTACAAATATATAGTAATCACGTACATTTCAATCGTTTCTATAGACAGGAATTCTAATATCTGAATGACAAACGCATAAAGGCCCTTTTTAAATTTAACATTAACTTCACAAGTCTGCCCTGCTTTCGAACCCAAATGACTATTGTCAAATCTTTCAACTAAAAAATCACGACACCTAAATTCTTAGTCGGTCACTTTTCCTATACCTTAACATTTATAAAACTGTATCCCTTTGAAAAAGAAAACAAATTATTATAAGAGAAAATGCAAAAGCAACTACAACCAATCAAAACAGTGGGTCGAAATGATGGATAAATTGTAAGAGAAGAAACAAAACGCTGACATTTTCAAGAATACATCTCTCATTTTCAATAGATATGTTGGGAGAGCTCTATGTAGTTCCTGCAGATCGACAGGTAAGAGTAGAAAATTTAGTAGATTGAGTACACTAAAGTTGAGCACATACTTAATGAGTAGCCGCGTGCTTGGCTGCAGCAGTTGTTCGATGTGTGGCAAACCCTAAAGTCTTTTGCTGCCTAGAACTCTGCCAAGAAAGTGCTGCCTTACGTTTGTTCCTATGTTTCCACAGAATGCTATTATGTGGTCTCCACTTTTGGACCTCACAAGGAGAGGAGTCTTCTCCTTTGAGTTTCTCCTTTATTCGTGGAGCAAGGAAAGCAGGATTTGCCCCAGCTACTGCTATCCTTGGGAAGGAAAGGGGCGGTGTATCTCCCTTGGGCTTTGAGGAGAAGGCAGAGAAAAAAACGTCCTTTGCAAAGGTTTTCTTGCTTTGTTCCACCTCACGAATCCCGGGCAATGAAGAGAAGGAAAATATTCCACGGATGGTAGTTGTGGTAGGATCAAAGATCTTGCGTTGCGAAGCAAACTTCTCTACAGTGTTACTCCTCTGGTGGGGTAGATGCACACCCTTAGTCCACCGTACTAGAGCAATCCGAGAAGAACGGTTTGGGTCATATTCTACCCTCTCTATGATGCCCATAGACGAAGTGCTTCTTTTCAGATCAATTATTCTCTGTAACCGTTTAGCTCCACCCCCTCGGTGGAAAATTGTGATACGCCCAGAGGAATTCCTACCAGCAGACTTTCCTGTACTCAAAGTAAAATTCTCTAAGTGCTCATTTCTCTCAAAAATAAAAAATAAATACATTAACTTATCCTCCGGATGCAAGGATGCAAAGTATCATTCAAGTGCTGAATATGATAAGCTACAGGAAGATGCAAATTAAGAACTTACTACAGCAATATCGAACCATACTACAAGACTTGCCTCGAGAATGAAATGAAACAGCCTAATGGATTCTCACAATTGTTTCAAGGATTCAGACATTTTCAGAATTAGGTACTGAACATTGTATTCTGCTCCCGACCCAGAGAAAATAAACCTATTAACAGCAACTAAGAACATTCATTTTAATCCCCTAAAAAGAGAAAAAAAAAACATTTCATTTTAATGGGGAAAAAAGAGAATTGAAAAAAAAAAAATCTTCAGAAAAGTTCTCTATTTTTCTTTTCTTTTTTTTTTTTTTTTCCTTGAAGTCAGTCTAATAACAGTTCGTATTTCTAATGACAATTCGTATTAAAACCATGAGTATAATTTTCCACAACAAAAGTCATAGAATTCAGATTACTGATTACTATAATCTTCAATCTCAAATAAAAAGAAAAGCAAACATAAGAACAAATTTATTCCAGTTAAATTCGTAGGATGAGAAGCAAAACAAAAAAACAAAAAAAAAAAAAGCTTTTCACCAAATAACAAAGGAAATGATAAACAAATGGCAAACTCTGGGAAATAAATAAATAAATAAAAATGCATAATGCAAGACATACATAGGATTGAAAGCAATCTTACCCTTGAATCGGCAAAGGGATTTCAGACCTCTCCTTTGCCCTGCGGAAACGACAACCAAAAGTCAAAACCATCAACATTTAACACAATTATTATCTATATTTTTTTTCCCAAATCAGACTGAATGAATATGATTAATTAAAGATCTGGATTTTGCCAGACGCCAAACAGACACTAACCACCGAGAAGGCCACATTTCCCAAAAGGCGACGGAGAAACGAGACGAGACCGATCGAATTGGGTTCCCGAAAACGACGGCGACGAAGAAGCAGACGAAGACACAAAGCCTCTGCGAGAGATGAAAAAGCGAGTATTTTTGTCGTTGAGAGGAGATTCCCAGCTAGCTCGTGGAAGTGAAAAGGCTCGCCGAGCCAATCTCCCCAAGCCGTTCATACCTAAAAGAATCTAATCTGAAAAAATAATTAAAAATAAATAAATCAAGAAAGTAGAAACATAATCTATTGTGGGATTTTGAAATGAGAAAATTGAGGAAGATTGTATGTAAAACCTAAATACCTAATATTTTGTGAAGATACAGAATCTCAGATTGTACCTACCTTCACGTTCACGGAGTCACGGACCGCGCAGCGACGGTGACGGCGCACGGACGGGAGCTACGAGAGAACAGAGAGAGAGGGAGGGAGTGACTGAGAATGAGAGAAATAAGAATTGAGAAGTATTAATCGATTTTTTTTTTTTTTTGATTAATTCCACGTCTCAGCCCATAATTCCATTTACTCTTTTAGAAGACGTTTAATTTTGCCTCGTTTATTTTACTGATTTGAGTTTTTAGTTTTAAGTTTTTACAGTAAAAATCTCTTAAAAAATGTCACATCAAACTTTTTTTGCTACAGTAAAAAGCTCTTAGAAAATGTCACATCTCAGCTCAAATTAAAAACTCGAATTCGCGAAGTGAAAAGGCTATGTATTCAGGATCATGATTCAGAATTATTCTCGTTTTACGTATATTTTTTTGTGAAAAAAAACACTGTAAAGAACCATGAATCGTTATTTAGAATCAATGACGAATATAGGAAACAAACGTCATCTTAACTTTTCAAACATCCCACCATTAATTAGAGTTGCAAAAACGGATTAGTATGACACATTCTACTTAGACCTACTCAAGCTGTGGGCCGGGATAAATCTCAACTTAACTCACGTTATTTGTCAATTTTTCGTGAACTAAGCCAGACCGTGCTATAAGCCGAAAACAAGCAGCCCATTTGAGCCCATCAATGAGTCCAAATGGGAAACTCATCTTAGTCATTATAGGTTTAAATGGGTCAATTCATCTTATCTTCAGTTTTTAATTTTTTTAATATTTATTTTTAAATTTCTAAACAAGTTAATAAAAGTTTAAATAATTAATGGAAATATGAAAAGAGATATTTATTTACAATTGCCTTATTAAATACCTTTTCAAAAAAAAAAAAACTCAGTGGGATAAAATCTTGATAAGAAAAATAAGTACAATCAGGATAATTATACATAAAATAATTATAAAATTACTAAATAAAAATCAATTAAACAAAACACATAAAAAGCTTGATGTGTCAGGCCTTGTAAAAGGCCATTCTCCAAGACTATGTTCACCCTCGAGTGAACATAGCAAAAAATATATAATTATTTGTATATATATAAAATTGGGCTACAATGGGCCTTTTATGGGCTGGCCCATTTGTGAGCCTATATGGGCTGAATCAAGTGGGTCTTATATAAGCCGGCTCATATTGGGCATGTTCGTGCCGGCATGGCCCATGAATTTTCATGGGCCGTGTTGGACCGGCCTATGGGCCGAGAAATGCTAGCCCAGCCCAACCCACTATTATTGTTGGACTAGGCCGTGCCTTAAACAGTATCTTGTTGGCCCGACCTAACCTAACATTGTATCAGGATGGGCTCAAATCGGCCCACGAACCTCAACTCATAGTTGCATTTCTACAATTAATTTCTCATATTTTATTTTATTTCAGTTTAGTCCTTTCATTAATTAGGTGTTAAAATTTAATGGAATTTGTGCAAGTAAATGGACCAAAATTAGAAACATATAAAATTTTAGGACTATCTGTGAAAATTACTTTTGTTTTTTTTATTGTTTTAATCTCTAAACTTTATATGTTTCCAAATGTGGTTCTTAATTTTCACAAATTTCGTCAAATATTTAACACCAAGCTAACAGAATGATCAAAACTAAAACAAAGTAAAACCTTAAGGACCAATTGTGAGATGTTTTAAAAATCCAAGACCAAAGTGGAATTAAAGGTAAACCTCAGGGTCCATTGTGAGATTAACCCCTTTTTTTAGTGTCATACTTCATCAAGCCCACTAGCCCGCCGAAACCACTCATCAAAATAGGGTGACGTCATCACCCTTCTACTTTGGACGGGTTTACAACCTGCCTAAACCACCCAACCCGTCCCACCAATCACAATGGGTCGGCGTCATCACTTTTATATTTTTAACGAGTTTACAACCCGCCCGCCTTCTTTTATGGACAAGGAGCGGTTTTTTATTTTTAACTAGTAGGCTAGTGGATTGACCTCATCCACGCATTAACCCGTTGAATATGTGTATATATGGGTGTAGTTTTAATGGTTAGTCTAATATTTATCTGTCAATAGGTATTATTGGATAGTTGACTAAAGAAATATGGTAATTAATGAGATTGGATTCTTATCACGTCACACTATTAAATTTTTATATTTAATAGGTATCTTCGTATAGAAACGTAACCAATAACAACCTGCTTTTTTTATTTTACTGCGATGAAGCCTTCAAGCCTGACTCTGATGGAGCAGAGTTCAGGGGCGGGGCCCACGCGAGCGTAATTGCTTAAAGGCGTTTAGTTGTTAGCTGGCTTAGCGGCTTGTTAGTGCACTTGTGCCTTCCGGCGGAGTTACGTGAGCGCATAGCTCTCTGGTAATGAAGAGCAAACGACTCACTAGGAATAATCCGAAGAAGGTGGTGAAGCCTAGCAGCAAGACGAAAAAAGAGCAAGCAGCAAAGCAACAGAGGAGAAGAAGAAAGAACGCACTTACATTACTGTATGATCTTGAGGAACTGATAAACTCGCCTTAGGTCTTGAGAGAGCCTAAAAAATCGACTTGGCGCAGGAGGCCAAGCATTCTGAGCTGGAAGGAGGCAAGCAAATGAAGGGAGGCATTACGGGCCGACTATAAGAAGCAAAGCTTCGTAGACTCGACCAAATTAATGATGGTGGAGATTCCATAAATATATGGAATATGAATATTCAAATTCAAAATGGGAAGATAATAATAAGAGAAGGGTACAGTAGCTCGTATCGAATAGTATTCCCGAGATGTGAATCTCACTAAAGCACTTCGAATCAAGATCTTCATCAACATTCCTCGTGGTCTTGCTAATTCTCGTAGACAACCCTGGAACTTGCCCGTAGTAGGCCGGCCGCCCTACTTAAACCAATCATCATATCGGTCCCTAGGCCCCATTGCTGGAAAGGCTCGGCTTCAAAACCGTACGTGGAGCTTCCGCCTCATACGGCTCCTCTAGGGATGGAGGTAGGCCCAACCCAGGCTTGTGCGGTTAAGGTTGTTGTACACGATCTCCATTGCAACTATCCTCGCTATCCACCCCAGCGGATTAAGCATACTACTAAGCTACACAAACAAACTACGACAATCAACCAATCGGAGGAAGTCGGAAAGCGGGCTCGACCGATAAGGTCGAGCTCTCTTCAAACCTTCGATTGGTTGCTTTCCCTCTTGGCAAGTTACTTAAAGAAAACAAGTGAAGTAAGCTCCCCCCGATACAAGCGAGCTAAGGGGCTTGAAGTTATCCCAATAACCCAGACTTCTTTTCCTTCTAGGCTTCCAGTAGCCCTTCCTCCACCAAGAGAAACCCTAGGAGAAGACCATGCTACCATAGAGAAGGGAAAGCCCACCTCGGAATTTGACCATGAGTTCACAGCTTAGGATCAGAAGGAACCCATCCCGTCTTTCATTAAAGCAATGGTCTACGACTCCGCTGCTTGCTTAGGATAGGAGAGCTCCTTTGTTATTTTTGTTCTACCGTTAAGAGAAGGATCACAAGCCCTAGTCCCAAGCTAAACAGCATATTTATTCATCTGCACCGGCATGAGCAAGAGCTTCTTTTTAAGCTTCTTCAACAAAAGAAATTCTCTCTCCCCGGCCATCCCGACCCAGGTTGTCCGATCAACCTCTCGGGTCCCTTTCGCGACAACAAACATAAGGATCTTCCTTCAAGAATCCTCCGAGATTGAAGAATACAACGTCGACGGCATGCCCACATAGTGCTGCATCGTGCTTGTACACGAAAACAGAGGGAGTATGGGTCTCCGGCCTGTAAAGCTCATGAATCGAGCACTTTTAGGCAAGTGGTTATGGATATTTTGAGAGGAGAGGGATAGCTCGAGTCTTCGAATCCATTAGGTAGAAGTTTCCTCCTTGATCTTTAGTAAAGGCGGATTAAGCCAAAAAACCTTTTTTTTTCGAATAGTCTCAACGTCCTCGTTGAGAGTCGCTCTGCGAGACGTCAAGTAGTCTCTGACTTGGTCTTCTCTTCTTATTTTATTCCCCGGAGCACAAGAGCTCGGGTAAACTCGTCAGCTGGATAGCTATAGTACAGAGTTTAAGGGGGGAATATATATCGCTTTCCATTCCAGGGGGACCGAGAAAAAAGGGAAGGAGATATGGAGCCAGTGAGTGGCAATTGCTTGGGAAAAACGGGAGTTGTTGGTTCGAGGGAAGGAAAAAATGTTGCCCTGTTGGGTCTGGGATTGATTACGTTTGTTTAAATCTATAGTACGCTGACTGGGCCCCCTGTCCCTGTTATTGGTGCAATAGGTACTGAGATAACACACCAATTCGAGGGAGGTGCTCGACCTAACATTCTCAACCCATATGAGACAGGGTAGCCGCCTAGATTGTTACTGATGCTGAGCCTGCTAAGCCACATATGGAGGGACGCCTCGCTGGTCGGTCTACAGAGCCAAGAAAGAGCACGAAAGAATCACCGATCTTTTAACTAGCAGTTGTGATTCAATCCATTTTATTTCCACTCCCCTTTTTATTTGACTAGCTAGAGTAGCAATTACCATGTCTTCTTACTCTTTTACTTTTTCGGGATAAAGGTCCCCGGCGTTTAATCTTGGCTCAGAAGAAGGCTAGCCTTATGCTTGACTCGGACTATTTAATGATAAGGCGACGTGATGAAAAGCTACCAGACGACTCTATTATCGAAGAAATAAGGAAAAGGGCGACGATTTGGCATAAGGGCTTCAGCTCCTTGGCCTGAGCTGCTGTAATGGATTCGGTCTTATACATACGCGAGGAAGGTAATCAAAAAAGAAAGAAGATGAGTTCTTCTTTCTTTTATCACTTAGGAGCCGTGCGAGATGAAAGTCTCATGCACGGTTTTGAATGAGAGAACACAATTACAGGTACTCTTTTCGACTCTGACTCTCCCACTCCAGTTGTTGCTTTTCTTTCTGTTACTTCGAAAGTAGCTGCTTCAGCTTCAGCCACTCGAATTTTCGATATTCCTTTTTATTTCTCATCAAACGTTATCTTCCCTAACGTTCAGAGTTGTTCTGGTTTGAGAAAGGAGCACCGGCCGAGCGCCCTGAATGAATAAGAAATGAACAGCAGAGGGAATCAATGATTCTTAT